ACAAAGGCCCGTTGTTGTCCCTTTCTTGCTCAAAGTAGTGCATTAACGAGGCCACGAGTTCCTTACACCGACTATTTAACTGTTTGGGCATCTTTATATACCAAAATTGCCTTTATCTACTCGTAAAATGAATAATTTTGTTTTGAAACAAGCAGTTGTTGATTTACAGTATGCGGGGCCAAAGGATTTATAAAGATTTGAAATGCCACAAATTGATTCAGTGTCAAAATTAATACAAATGTCAGTTCCCAGTTTAAATAAGTTTCAAGGTGACAATGTGTCAACGCTGCGAAATCGGTTTAGTGCGTTTACATGTCGATAAGTGATTGGAGCGTTTGCAAAACATTTTATTTCGCATAATGCATCTAAATTTATCAGAAAGCAACTTATGTGATATTTTAATAACAATGTTTATATGACTATTAACCATAATAAGAGAGTAATGACCATTTTACAATTTATATATCACATTAATATGAAACTGCAATAGAGCAATTGTTTGTGATAGAAACCTAGGCATTAGGTCGGGGAATTTTTATCGTGATGACGTGCACGCCACTTTGTTTGGCGTTGACTATATGTAGTTTTTTTCTATTTTCAATAAAATATTAAACGTATTATTGTAGTTTTATTGAAAATACCTCTGGTTTGCGAAATAATTGTCAGAATGTCTTGTTTCAAGTTGTTCAAGCGCGGGTATTCAAAACATGGCACACACACACACCAATCAACCTTATTGTTATATATACTATATGTTTCAATAAAATATCCATTATACTATTTTCATTTTGAACGGTATCCTCCTGTATAATAATAACAGTACATCGTATACAGGTTATAAGACATTCTGACCGACCGACCGACCAGAGGAGCCCACCACGCTATTTAGGTCACGCCTTGCTATATACGATTTAACGATATACCGTCGATCCATCGATCCGCTATTTTTCGATGCACCCCTGTATACAGGTTCTAAATACCCCCCCGTAATCCACGCCAACACCAGACAGGTGCGACATAGGCGCCATCTATGCGCGAGATGCCCAACCCATCAATGACACATAGATTCCGTTTGGTTTGTACAGCGCCATACAACAAATCGGCGCCATCTATGCGCGAGATGTCCAACCCGTGTCCAATGACACATAGATTCCGTTTGGTTTGTACAGCGCCATCTAGCGGCGGCATCTCCAACTCATCAATTTCACATATAGATTCCGTCCAACCCATCAATGGCGCGCGACGCCAGCGCGTCTGGTGGCCGATTTTAGAACTACTGAGATTCCATCCCCATAAGGACACTACTCGCCCCCCCCTAAATCCAGTAACAAAATTAGAAATCTTGATACTTTTTTCGCTGATATGGTGCCATCTCAACCTCTGTGCGTCAGTCTAACTAACCCACCCAGAGGTTGGATGCACCTTTTATCCTCTATAACTTTTTCCTGAATATGTCAGTGTCAGTGGCGGCCGGTGGCTGTGAGAAATGGGGGGCTATTGTAGGGAAGGGTGGCCTGCCGCAGTCACCGCCGGAGGCAAAGAATTTTTACGGTGCCACGCCCAAAAACTTCCATTTTGAGCCTTCAAATTCAAATATACATTTTTAGAGCTATAATTCTTTTTGCATTTTTTATGTCCTGATTTTGTGGATGGATCAGTTGGCAATCCTATACCTATATATTTTATGTACAGTCCTCTGTATAGGAACAAACATATTTTAGGTACGAGAACTTATCGCAAAAGAAAGCAGCATCTAATATGAAAGCAACAGAGCATCTATTATCAAAAGAACAACAGTACTCAAAAGTATAGTTTTTCACTTTCTTACAACACATGTAACTATAAATAACTGGAAAAGAGAACAGAAATACGGTATACCTAAATGTATTATTGTATTATAAACGACTAAGTATACCTACCTACAGCTAGAGCAAACATTGTGTTTCAACTGTCACACTTCACACTTCTATTTATTACAAAATATTTTTTAATGTTTATATGTAAAGTCTAATCTTCTGTCTTTCTGTGAAATAAAATGTTCCATCACTTTTTCGTCGAAATTGCTGATATTATGTACCAGATTCTTATTAACAGACATCATTGCCAATGCATTCAGTCGTTCATTGCCCATCGAGTTTCTTAAAAACGATTTTATCCTCTTAAGGGTTGAGAAACAGCGCTCTGCTTCGGAAGTTGACATGGGAGTAGTTATAATTATTTGCAACAACTTAGTTACTTCGCTAAAAGTTTCCTCTAGGTTGTTATTAGTCAATAGGGACAGTAAATTCAAACCACCTGTAATATTTTTGAAGTCTTCCCTCATGTACATTACTTCTAATTCGGTTTTCAGTTTTTCTTTATTTACCATTGGATAATAAGTCACAACTGAATTCAGTATTTTTGCTGGAAAATATCTCGAATAGTTTGTGAAGTTTTGTGTATCTAATAAAGATGCAGCTTCTAGATGACCCCTGTAAGAAAGTCTCTCTTTTGTCTGTACAATTATTATATCGCAAACTTCTTTTGCAATACTACAATTTCTTTCTTCGGGTCCTACTTTTCTGCGTTTATTTCCATTGTCTCCATGCTCATTTTCAACAGTTTGCTGTATATCCTCTGTAGTGTCCCTAATCAATACAATGGCCTTCTCAAATACGTCAATATCTTTTAAAAGTTGTACACTGTCTTTATTCCTACTTTGAAACTGGTTAAACAAAATAGCTACGTGCGGTAGGGTTTTGTGAAAAAAAGTCAAAAAAAAGATGAAATCAGAATCTTCGAGTGCTCTTCTTAAACCGTATGCCTCCTTACTAGTAATTGTTTTATCACATTTATTCTCTAACTCCCGGAAACAATCAATAAGACTTTCACGGTTCTCAAAAACGGCACTGACTGTGCGAATGTTATAATTCCACCGTGTTGGCGCAACCTTTGGCATTTTGGTTTTAACTATTTTTTCCAATAAATCGCATCTGTGCGTGGAGTTGGAGAAGAAACTTGGAATTGCCGACAGGTTTGAAAAAAACACTTTTACTTTTGGATTTTGGCTGGCTGCTCTCTGCATAATTAAGTTCAGTTGGTGAGCGTAACAGTGTATAAAATGAGCGTTCTGATATTTTTGTTTGAACTCCACCACTGCTACCGCTCATTACGTTTGCACCATCATAAGTTTGCGCAATTAATTTGTGGGGTGAATCTTTTAATAATGGGCCTAGTTCTTCTTCGATACACTTTGCCAAACCTTCAGCTGTCTTGTCCGTAACGCTCAAAAAACGCCAAAATCTTTCTTGTATTTCACCTTCATGGAGATATCTAAATATCATTACCATTTGACAATGATGTGAAATATCTGTTGTTTCGTCGCACTGTATAGCTAAAAACTCTGCTGCATTAATTTGCTGTCGAATTTCTTGTTGGCAGACTTCTAACATACTATCTAGTATTTCATTTTGTACTGTTTTAGAAGTACCCTTAAACAGAGTCGCACTTTTTAAATGTTCCTTTAATATTGTATCCAGTTCGGACGTAAAATTAATCAACTCTCGAAAAATGCCACGATTTTCAGAGTCTTCACTTTCGTCGTGCCCTCTTAACGCTAATTCCAATTTACCGCAAAACTTTATACAGTTTATTATTCTTTTTAAAAGATATCTATTTTTGTCCACTTGCTCGTTGTGCTTAATAATATTTTGCCTGTAAGCGGAATCTAACTGAGCAGCGATACTAGCTGTTCCCAATAAAGCTAATTCTGTCGAACAAATCATGTGACGAGCCGAATTTTCATGCTTACTAATTTTCTGGTTTATATGCTTTAAATCTTTAAATCCAGTTCTTGTCCATGTCTTTTCCGCTGCATCTGAATAAAACAGTAAGCACGGAAAACAAAACAGGGCGTTTAATGTGCCACAACCGCATATCCATTTGTTTTTGTTATAGATATCTTTCTTAAAATGTCTCTTAAAACAACCAGCTTTCGTCGATTTATCAGCCTGAGTAAGGTTGATATTTGGAATCGGCCTTCCAAGGGATTTTATTATTATTTTTTCAGCAAGTGGAAGCCGAGAAAATTCACCTTTTAACAAATTTTGTACTTCATTTGCCATTTTAAACTTTTTGAACGCCCGAACGACGGCACGGGGACGCGACGAAGCGATTTCGTACACACGTAAATCGGGACTGGCTAAAAATTATTTCGCCAACTCGCGTGTTAAAATCCCGTATAAAACTCGTAAGCGCGTGGGAGGTATGACGTAGCGAGCCACTCAATCATGTCGGCGATCGCGGCAAAAATTATTCTAGCCTCGAATCGATAGGGAATCTAGCTCGCGACTTCGGGGTATTGGGATCGGATAATATATATATATATATATATATATATATATATATATATATATATATATATATATATATATATATATATATATATATATATTGCGTGTTGCGTAACTGGCTACTATTAAAATTCAGGTTTTGATTGAATTTTCGTATATATCTGGAAATTATTTAATCACAAAATCATATTTTAAATTTTTTGTTAATTCGCATTTTGTCTTGGGGGGCTGTAGCCTTTTCGCCCCTATGGACCGGCCGCCACTGGTCAGTGTAGAAAGATATTACTGCAAGAATAAAATAAGCTGGAATTCTAGTTGTATCAAAATGTCAAATACTCCGCTAATATTTACTTTTGCGAGGAACTTAATTTGTACTAAATTGGATATTCAATATCTGTCTTTACGCTTAGGTCCAAATGAGCGAAACTACACAACAATTATTTTAATTTCCGGAAAAGCTTTGCCAGTGTATTCAAATGCCTGTTACTCCCATATCCAATAAGGCAATGAAGGTTCCTTATGCATTAACATATCAGTCAGACCAGGTATAACTGGTGCTATGTTAGTTCGTACTCTGGTCAAGAGAGGGCCGGAAGGTCTTGTCATCCTGGTTGTCTATATATTGTCAAGGTGAGCTACGAAATGGGTAAGCACTCACAGGACTTTCGAGGAACTTCGTATTCGATATGTTAAAATGACAGATGAACGATGACAATTCGAAAGTTGAAAGGGTTCAAAGAAACAGCTGAATGATCGGATTGTGGTCGTAATTGATGGTGGAAATTGAATAAAATAAAACTCTTTCCAGTCATCTAGCATTTGTATGGATGTATCAATAAGCGTATCCACTATCTGAATGAAATTCTAGTTCTCCAACGTGCAAGTAGCGAGGCACTGTGCGATAAATTGTAGGATGGTGAGAACGTTCGAACTGGTAGGAATATAAAGAGACAGTCATTTCAGTGTATCGTTTGATAGTGGTGTTTTTTATTGTGTAACACTATGAAGAAATCAGAAAAGTGGACGAGAAATAGATTTGTTTGTTGATTTTTCATGGCTCTATAATTACCAGATTTGGTGTGAAGAAGCAGAATCAAACAACAATGTCAACTATGAAAAGTGGAGCTAAAAAGGAAGGCAAGATGAGGATTCGTGCCTTTCCTGTAAGTATATACCACCTTTTTATATTTCGATATTCAAATTCTTAAGATATAAATAAATAATACAATACAGCAGTTATGACAAGGATTTGCACATTGTCAATTGAAAACAAAAACTTACATGTCATTTCAGGCTAAAAAAATTAAAAAATTCATTGTCATTTTATACAATTTTTTACAAATAACTAAGTAGTCAGATAATGAAGCTGTTCTAAAAGCTCATATTGGAAACTACCTTGCTGATCTTCTATTTTCTGTAATGTTATGTATATATTGAAGTATACAGAATGAATGGCAACATAAATCTATCAAAATATTGGGAGCATTGGGAGACACCTGGAGATAATGTATTTGAACACTTACTCTTTTTCATTATATTAACATGTTTTTCATTTAAGATGACTATGGACGAGAAATATGTGGAGAGCATATGGGCACTTTTGAAAAATGCAATCCAAGAAATCCAAAAGAAAAACAACTCAGGATTAAGCTTTGAAGAGTTGTATCGTAATGCGTACACAATGGTATTGCATAAACATGGTGAAAGGCTCTATACAGGCTTAAAAGAAGTTGTGACCAATCATTTAGAGTCAAAGGTTTGTTAATAATCTGTTAGATTGTTTTTTTATATTAAAACTACAATATTTCCATTAATGTACATTGTATATGGGAGAATATAATTCATCACCTTGAGCAGAACTATTCCATGTCAAATAATTTTGCGCTGCACAAGTATCCGATGTCTACACTGACCAAGAATACTGAAAATGGCTGAATTAAAATTTAGTCTATGTCTTATGCTTCTATCCCTGTGGTGCAGAACTGTTTTATCTGTGGAAGGGTGTGATTACTGTTTTTGACATGGTATAGTTCTTCTCTAATGATGGTGGTCAATTAGTAAAAATAGCTTATTTTGTTTTCATATTTATTATGTCACATAATATTTGATAGTCAGCATCAAAACTAAGAGCTGAAGAAGTCATCAAATAAATTATGGGTTGCTATTCTCTTTTCAGCTACATATTGGTGACTAGGCTGCCTTTAACCTTTTTTGTTAATCTTGAACCCTAATACTAGAATGAGCATAACCAGCATTAAAACTTGATATTAAACTTGCCAGGCGTTTAAATCAAGGTCACAATATCTGACCAGTCTGCTGCCTAGAGAGCCATGAATATCCCTGCTCTAAGTCATTGTTTTACAATACACTTGCCAAGGAAGGAGATCAATGTTACAGGTTCCTCCAGCAATATGGAATACATAGTCCTTCGATATTCATTCACCATAAAAGACCAAAGATTATACCACTGTCACCTTTCATTCAGTAGCATTTGATGTATGTCTTGACTTTTATATTTGCCCACAGTCATCTTTGCATAACCATACTTCTGAAAATTTATTGAGGTGAAGTTTGCAGGGATATAACAGTCATACCCCTGCAAACTTCATGTTAATGTGGCATCTGCTAATTTCCAGCATTGGTTTGGGACCAATGTGTGAACCCTGCCAGGTGATCTTCTTCTACATCATGTTTTAAAGATTGTATCTGCCATAGTGGATGATGATTTCTCTATAATTATGCTGACTTAAGGTTGCTAGTGGGATTGTTATTTGGTCACATCATGTTGAGATACCACCTGCATGTTTTGGGGGTGGCTAAATATCACTGGTAGAGGAGACCTCAGCACCTATTATTTGGTGCTACAAGGTAGACTATCTGAGGTCCAACATTTTGGCTCTCCTGAACATCAAGGAGTCAGAGACCTAGTCAACTTTGATAGGAGGGTGATGTGTGAGGTATTAAAAAATAGATGCCTTAAAGGGCTCGGTAGGTAACCTTTATTCCAATACCTCTTGATTGCTGGAATGCTTTGTAGGCCAAATGCTGGTTAAGTTCCAAGTTTAGTAATTATTATTTTTATATTAACTATGAGTTTTTAAATTGATTTTTCAAATTTTTGTTGTGTAACCCATAATTGTTGATCTGCCACCTCTGCTTCTTCATTTGAACTGTATTTGCTTATTGATTGTCATTTGTGGCAAATCATGTCACTCCTAAGTAGAAAAGTCAATCATAATCCATGTTTGTCTGGCCATTGAAACTACTCGTATTTAAAATTCTTCTTGGTATGTTTTGGTCACAACAGTAAAGAAAGTCACTGTTGTGACCAAAGCAAATACATTAAAGAGGAATTAAAAGTATATGTGGTTTCATTGGCGAGACAAACATGGGAGATTATCGACATGAAAACAGGACAAGTTGCAGATGTCAGATTAAGTAAAAAGTGTTAGGTATTTTGGTTTAATTAGCAATTTTTAGTTAACCATTTAACCAGTATATGGTCTTCTGGTTAAAGGTAACACAGTTTTAAGGCGTCAACGTCTGGTTAGCAGTAAAGTTACAATCCACTTGCAAGTGAAAACCAGGCCTCTTTATACTATCATCCATTCAATGTCTCTATTAGATAAATTAGTTTCAATTATCGGTTTTTGAATACAAATTTTGTCTTTACAGGTTAGAGAAGATGTTCTTAAATCGTTGCATAATAATTTTCTCATGACCTTAAATCAAGCTTGGAATGATCATCAGACATCCATGGTTATGATTAGAGATATACTTATGTATATGGATAGAGTTTATGTACAGCAAAATGATGTTGATAATGTGTACAATTTAGGACTAATTATATTTAGAGATCAGGTAAGATATGTTAATAGCATTATTCTATAAACATTTGGTATATCTAGCTTATTCATGGACACACATTTTGCATTGTACTGTTATTGATTAACATTTTGCACCAGAAAATACCCAATTCAATTATAGCAGTGTCATACATACAGTTGCCAGTGTTTTTACACCTATTACGATTGTAATCTATTACTAGTGGAAGAATTAATTACCTATTTAATATGAGCTTAATTTCTATTACTATCTGTATTTTACCAGGTGCCCTCTGTGAAGCAATTGTAAAATCATATTTTTGTACGTGCTACTGACGAGTTTCGTTCAGAGTCTGTATCATTTCCCGTGTGCTTCCCACTAAAAAAGATGCATAGACTCACCATAAATATATTACTGTAAATCTATTACGATTTCTTAAGAGGCACCTATTTCTATAGATAGTATAACAGGAACAACAGCATTTTGCAATACTGGTGCGTTAAGTAGGCAGAATTTTTCCAATTTTTTACTGGGTAGTATCGTATCATACTTATAGAATTTTATAGTTTTATAACAATTTTGGAGAATAAACAGAAAAATCAACTTCCAAGGACCAAAAAAAAAACATAGAGAAGATAGGAGAGGTAAACTATACACCCTGTCTGTATATATATATATTTCAGGTGGTAAGGTATGGTTGTATCAGAGATCATTTGCGGGAAACATTACTGGATATGGTGATGCGCGAAAGACGTGGTGAAAAAGTAGATAGAATTTCGATCAAGAACGCCTGTCAGATGCTGATGGTGCTAGGTATAAATTCGCGCAACGTCTATGAGGAAGACTTTGAAAGGCCTTTTCTGCAGCAGTCTGCTGAATTTTACAAGGTAATGTTTTTCTGCATTCCAGGATGATAACATATCCTAAGATCTGGTAGCCAATACTTTAGAATGAGAAACCAGAATCATCAACAAAAAACTGAGTGGTAGTTCTATAACCTTTTGAAGCTTATGTGACAGCTTTCGATAGTGGCGGATCCATTTTTCAATTTGTAGATGACGACTCCTCCTCCCCTCGAAACTGACATTTTCCTGAATATGAATCCTGAGCTCCTATACCTCCGCCCCTGCTTCCTAGGTTTTTCATAGCACTATCGCGTATCCCAAAATTAACTTCATCTTTAGAGATCAGAGCAATGAACGACTTTTTCTCCTGCTATCATAAGAAATAATAATTTCTCGAGAAGCAATAGAACCAGGATCACCTTCTATTAGTTATTCTATTAAATTATTTCCAACAATTGATTCAGGCCTTTAGCTTTATGGATGTTAAAAATATAAAAAATGAGATCATATTTAATTTTTATTATCCCCAGGTGGAAAGTCAAAGATTCTTGGATGAGAATAGTGCGTCTGTGTACATAAAAAAAGTAGAGGCACGCATCAATGAAGAATCGGATCGAGCTAAGCATTACCTGGACGAATCCACTGAGCCGCGAATCGTGGAAGTTGTAGAAGAGGAATTGATCAAAAAGCATATGAAAACAATAGTAGAGGTTAGTATTGTGCATGCACAGCCATAATCCATGTGTTCCATAACTGACCCTCAAACATGCACATAAAGGCATGCTTTATATGTACCTTTGTTGTCTAAATTTTAGCTTATTTTTACTATAGTCAAATACCAGAATTGATGACAGTAGCAGAAGTCATCGTGCGCCACTGCTTTGACGCTGTACCTTTTGATTACAGCGACGTTTACCGACATTTCACAAAGAAGCGCCGCATTTTCGAAGGCCTCCGCGTAATAGCAGTAGCGTACGATGAGTTTCGCTACTGTCACCAATTTTGGTATTTTACTATTATTTTATTGTAAAAAAGAGATTACAAATGTTTTTGCGTAAATTTATTAACCATTGCACTACAATCGTATATGTGAAGTCCTACGTCATACAGGGTGATCGAAAAATAGACGGATATATTTTAGAAGGTGATTCCTTGTTGAAAAATATGGAAAAAAGTCTCTATAGTCATGGGTTCGGAAATGCAGAGTTTTTAAGACTTAACAAGAATATTTTTTGTATTAATATCTTAAAAAATGTTTACTCGGTTCTGTTGAAATTTGGCAATATCACTTGTTGTATTAAGAGACTAATTTACCCCTAAATAGATTAAAATTATTAGGTCCAGCGGCGTCCCGGGGGCACCTTAGCGAATATTATTGGTAAACAATGTACGCCACTGTCTTTTTTGTAACTTTAATATTTGTTGTTTGATTAAAAAAATCACAAGTGCATTGGAAAACAAAAAATCAAAAAAAATTCTAGCAAATAGTGTTACTGCAACTTTTCCAATAGGTACCATAACAAAGTTCACTACAACAAATGTTAGACATGTCCACCATCCATTTCCGTACACCTTCTCACTTGACAAATCATTGAACGACGTACTCGGACTAAAATTCCAAGGCACTTGTGATTTTTTTAGCAAAAATTAAAGCATTTTTTCCCAGTTACATGCAATAATTTTTATTTTTTTCCTCAAAAACATAGTGAGATACAAAAAAATACAACAGGCAAAGAAGTTGTATTTTTAGATCCTTAATCAAGCAACAAATATTAAAGTTACAAAAAAGGCAGTGGCGTACATTTTCTTGCCAATAATATTCGCTAAGGTGCTCCCGAGACGACGCCACTGGGCATAATATTTTTTTAAATTAATCTATTTAGGGCTAAATTAGCCTCTTAATAGAACAAATAATATTTCCCAATTTTCACAAAATCGAGTAAATATTTTTGCAGATATTAATGAAAAAAAAAATCATCTCCCTGTATCTTGAAAACTCTGCATTTTCGCACCCATGTTTATAGGAACTTTTTTTCATATTTTCTAACAAGGAATCACCCTCTAAAATATCTCCGTACATTTTTCAAACACCCTGTATAGTTCACATTCATGGTGTCCCACTTTAAGCTCCCTAAATAAATATTTGGAAAACTGCGCATTTCCGAAAAGAAGTTTCAAACAAAAGTAGGGATCTGAGGGGGCAAAATGATGTTGACCTTGGCAGTGACATTGGCTATGACCTTAAATGTCAGTCCAAGGTCAAATGAATATTTCCAAATGGAATCCTCTCTTTTTCACCTCGGAATTGAAAAAAAACTAACAAATTTTACGCCAGAGCATGACCTTGTCTATGACCATGACAATTGCCTTCAAGGCCATTTAAAGGTGAAAAATATTGTACTTGTAGTACTGGCATCATAGCCAATACATACCAAAAAGTTGCCTAAAAGTTTGTTCGTACAGTGGTCGGGACAGTGGAGATCATCAACATACCGTTCATCAACGACCAAGACGTTCCCATGAATTGGTTGAAGCGGTCAGAGACAGCGTTGCGGCGCATTTTGAAGGATGATTTGCATTTGTTTCTTTGTAAGGTGCAGCTAACACAAAAAATGTTGCTAACTGACCGTCCACGTCGCTTGGAATATGCCCAAACAGTCTCTCGCATGGTTGCTGCTGAACCTGATTTTTGGAAGCACATTGTGATGACCGACGACGCCCATTTCACACTCTCTGGCGGCGTTAATAAGCAAAACGGCCGCATTTGCGGGACGGCAAATCCACATGAGATCCACGAAATGCCGTTGCATGACCGGAAAGTAACAGTTTGGGCCGGCGTTTGCTCCAAAACCATCATTGGGCCATTTTTCTTCAACGAAAACGAAACAGTCGATGGAAATTGGTGGATGTTGGCTCATTATGTCTGCCCACAAATGCATGATAAAGGTCTTGGTGGTTACTGGTTTCAACAAGACGGTGCGCCGTGCCACACTGCAAATGAAAATTCCCTGCACGTCTGATGTCAAAAAGAGGTGACATTGACTGGCCACCCAGGTCTCCAGATTTGACCCCACCGGACTTCTTCTTATTTGAAAAGTCAAGTGACGCCAGCAAGCCCCAGACCACTGAAGAACTCAAAGCAAACATTCGTGCCGCAATCGCCGCTATACTACCAGAGATGCTCGAAAAAGGAATGGGAAAACGCAGCAAAACGGGCACATTTTGCCCCCACCCGACAAGGGTTTTCTCACCGCGACTTACAATCCCAGTAGTTTTCCTTAATTTTGCTCTCTTGTATCATCCCCGTTACCAGCTACACACAGATGCCATTATTATTAACATTCCAGATCGCGTAGAGTCTAGTGTCGCTGGCTCAATAAACTAATTTGCTTACATATTTCGGTGTCTATACCTCTCGGGTGGTAAGGAAACAAGTTCAAAGATTCTCATTCGTGTTAAAATTTCCATGTAATCCCTTTCAAACGTATTCCAAACAATATTCACTAATCTTTTAGAGAATGCAGCAGTCGTGTTGCGAAACATACACTTCATTTCAATACTTTTTTCCAACAGTACAGAAAAAAATTAGAGGAATAAATAATACCCTGTATATGCTTCCTCCGCAATTGACATAGAAATCGAGTCCATTGTAACTCTGCGGCAAGAATGCACATTACCATTATTAGTAGAAGCTTTTTGGTTGAAATGTCGGTCAAAATTATAACACAATTCCAAAATATGTTCGTCCGGCATTGGTGTTCTTCTGTATTCCCAGAATTGAATGAATTGCTGGTACATGGAGGTGTAAGTCTCCTCTATCTGTCCGTATGTCACTCTCCGGTCTTCGTCAAGTATTTTCCTCACAGCAGTAATGTTTTCCTCTGTTACTGAAGTTCGCGGCCTTTCTTCCATCTCAGCATCCTTCAGAGTGAAATTGCCCCTTTGGAATTCTCTATACCACCTGAAGATAAGCGTGCGATGAGGACAATAATTCTTTAATGCAAGCGTCATTTCTTCTAAGAACTGGTCTATGCTCAAACCACGCGTAAAGTTGTACGGTAAAACTGCCCTTATCTCACTACGTGACCACGATGCCATAGTCCGCACTTTACACTGTCAATACGAATGAACAACTAAATCCACAGACGTGCTGCTGGCTTCTACTATGCACTTATGTACATGTCTCAACATACAGCCTCCTGCGTCCGTTTGTTAAGTCATATTGCAAACCTTTTATAGTACCCTTTTATATGAAATTTACTTCTGATGGGAATGAACATTTTGCTAACTAAAACCGGATTACCCCAAAGTATAGAACTATAGGCGAGGTGACTATGGTTCATGAAACGATCGAAATGTTAGCAAAAGTGTCACAATGACATCTTTCATTAACTGGCGGGCAATTCAAACCCACTAGAGACAGCAGTACCAGCAACCGTTGAACAACTGGCGGGTTGCCGTCTGTTTGGTGTGAACGCTTGTATTTGAATACATCTGCTGAATCGGGTTGCGTTTCCTAATACAGTATCTTCGCTTTCAGATGGAGAACTCAGGAGTGGTGCACATGCTAAAACATCAAAAGACTGAAGACCTGGCTTGCATGTACAAGCTGTTCGGGCGCGTGACTGACGGCCTGAAGACGATGGCTGATTGCGTAAGCCAGTATCTCAGAGAGCAGGGCAAAGCTTTAGTGCAAGAGGAGGAGCATCAACCAGCCACAAACGCCATTACGTTTGTCCAATCGTTGCTCGATCTCAAGGACGGTTTCGACCATTTCCTCAAGAACTCTTTCAACAACGACAAAATCTTCAAGCAGATGATCGCTTCCGATTTCGAACATTTCCTTAATCTCAATCCCAAGTCGCCGGAATATTTATCGCTCTTCATTGATGATAAGTTGAAGAAAGGTGTGAAAGGCGTAAGTAGACTTATGTTTCAGTGTCAACATAATATGTTTAGGGCTAAGAAGTACGCTTCTCCGCATGACCTACGCACTCTGTACAAGGACAAGATAAGACCTATCCTCGAGTATTGCTCACATGTTTAGGGTGTCTGCTGCCCATCCATGCTCGATGCTGTTCAGAGGAGGGCTTGTCCGACTGATCGAGGACTCTTCTCTAACGGACAGTCTCGGTATACTTTCGCACCGGCGGGCCGTCGGCGATGAAGCTCTCGTCTACCGCTACGCCAACGGGCTTTGCTCCTAGGAGCTCTCGTCAATGATGACGCCGGGAGATATGTCTACCCGACAAACCCGCCTGACTTCGGCCTCCCATCCTAACCGTGGCGAACTTCGTACATTCAGAACTATCGAGATTGTGGACCAATCTACATGAGGAGGCTATTCCCTGTTCTACTAACCTTAGGTAGTTCATAAATCGGCTTAACAATGTTTCTTTAAGGTCCCCATAACAGCCGCGGTGCCCTGGTATTTAGGCTCCTGCCTCCGCAGCTTCTTCTGTGTAAAAAAATATACAGGGTGTGGCAAAAGTACCGGAACTGCTCGATAATTCTTTGGGCATAGAGAATGCTTCAAAAGTTGAAGGTTGTTTGGTCAACTTTAAAATTTAAACTTTTGATTCCTGTAAAGAAACGACCGTAAAACTTTACGTTCAACCGTGACGTTGAATTTCTGTCAGATTTGACATTGAACGACTAGAGGTGACTAAAGAAAATTAAAATTATGTACTGATGAATCACCCAGTGATATCTGAAGGTTAAACTAAGACTATATGACCGAGACCCTTAACCTTGCCTTAGTTGTCCAAGACTGTCATCCTTGCGTTAGTTGCCCGGGGGTCATTCAAGATAAAATATGAGGATCATTCAAGGGCATATTTTAACATACTCGTTTCATTGCTGGGGTCAAAAATAAGGGATTAGATGTAAAATTTGGAAGTTCATCTTCAAGGTCAAGACCGAACCCAAAGTCACCTTCTGGTACACACATGCCCGTTAAATGCATTCCCGAAGAATTATCGATATTCAGCCTTACCGGTTGTTTGGCCTTGAAGGATCACTCAAGGTGATGTTTCAACGTAAAATTTTCTGCTCGTTTTATTACCGGAATAAAAAGTAGGGGTTTATATTTGAAATTTTAAAGTTGACTTTCAAATAATCTCCAAGGTCATAATCAAGGTCGAATCCAAGGTCACCGACCGATGGTCGAGGGAAAATCCTACAACTTTTGTTTGGAGCATTTCATCCTAAAATCTATTCCCAGAGTTATCGAGCCGTTCCGGTACTTTTGCCATACCCTGTATATCAGAGTAAGGGTATATCACAGATTATCAGCGCACATACTACCAATAATACTTTTGTCAATTCTTCTTAGGATCAGCTGTGCAGCGCGATCTGAAGAAATTAATCCTAACTAAGCAAGTATAAATGATCATTTCTTTACAGGACACGAAAATAATCAAGCGTGCTCAGTATCACTGGCCCTCTAGTATCAGAACAATATATATAACTTCATTATACCCTTATAATGAGGAAGTTTCCTATTTTTCAAAAGACACTCAAAATGATAGTCAAAGTAAAATGAAGTACTATGCTGAAATTTTTCTTGAATATCTCGAAAAATAACAAAGTGACGCGAGTCAGAAGTTTATTATTTAGAGAATCGTGAGATGATATATATATATATATATATACAGGGTGTCCAATAAGTACTACGACAAACTTGAGGAGAAGGTAGGCTTTGGACTGAACTCCCAAATAACAAAAACTTACCTATATAAAAGTGTCACCGTTTTTGAGATATTGAATTTTTTCTTAAATTTTAAAAAACAAACCTTTTCATCTGTGGTCTTTAGCTGTATGTACAAATAAGGTTATACCTTGTTCATTTTTTCTATAAAATACTTCTAGATAGTTGCTTTATCATATACAAATGTAATGTAGTTAAATGATATTAAGGAACCATGATCAAATAACGACTATTTTGGGACTTATAACCTTCTGATATTTTTTCCTCAACTTTGACCATCTGTGGTGAAACAAAAATGTACTGGGCTATAACTGCATTATATTGAATAAAAAGATTGCTCATTGAATACCGATTTCAGAAAGGCACCACACATACTATTTGGAATAGAAAAAAATGATAGCTGCTTTTGTAAGTGACTGACACACACTACAATGTAATTATTGGATTTAAATTCAAGTTGCACTGGTTACTGATCAGTGAAATGCTAAATAGTACAAAGCTACATTATTATTACCTGCTCCTGATATGATTTTATGAAAGTTGAGGAAACAATATCAGAAGGTTATAAATCCCAAACACTTATTTTATCATGGTTCCTTAATATCTTTTAACTACATTGCATTTGTATATGATAAAGCAACTATCTAGAAGTATTTTATAGAAAAAATGAACAAAGTATAACCTTATTTGTACATGCATCTAAAGACCACCGATGAAAAGGTTCATTTTTTTGAAATTCAAGAAAAAATTCAATATCTCAAAAACGGTGACACTTTTATATAGGTAAGTTTTTGTTATTTGTGAGGTCAGTCCAAAGCTCATCTTCTCCTTAAGTTTGTCGTGGTACCTACTGGATATATATATATACAGGGTGTCCCAGAAGTCGACGTCAAGCCGAAACCGGCTGATAGGCAAAGTCATAACAGCTATCAGAAAAATATTTAAAAAAATTTTATGTATGTGTTTTGAAAATTATAGGTCTTTGAAAAAAATATAGAAATTTCACACCCTACGGCAGTCTGTCAACTGCTGTTACTACAAATATTAACTTTTTTGGATTTTATTTTTACAATGTAATGATGAATAATGCATCTTCAAACTGGTGTCTCAACCTTACTGCCAACTTTTCTCGTTCAGGAAAAATTGCCACTTATTTCCCAACCAAGTATTCCAAAGTAAAACTTTGCTCAACTTTAACTAGCTGTACTGGAAAAAAATGTACTACGAGAGTTTGGCAAGTAACCTTAAAAGTTGGCGCATTTAATAAGAATTCCAAATTGGTATAACACTTAGAAGATTACTCGTTAACTTATGCACAATATTTATTTGAAGACAAACTGATGAAAATTTTTCAAAATTTCCTAATTAAACAGCGATTATGAAAACGCACAAGGACCCTTAAGGATAACTGTTTGCACAACAGTGGGCGACAAAATGCTGCTGATGATGATTTACCTTTACAGCAAATGCTCAAACTGTTTTCCTTCAGCCGCAATACACGCTCGACATCTTCTTAAAAGAGATCGGGTTATTAAACGAGCGAATCCACGGTTATTAACAAACTCAGCTGCTTCCAATAGTCTTTGCCGTAGCTCAGCTACATTTTGAATCGGCTTGAAATACACTTTTTCTCTTACAGTTCCCCAGTAAAAAAAATCTAACGGATTCAAATCTGGTGACCGGGTTGGCCACGGTATTGTACCAGACCGCCCTATCCATCTGCCTGGAAAGTTTTGATCGAGATACTCTCTCACTGAGAGTGCATAGTGCGCTGGGCAGCCATCATGCTGAAACCACATGTCGCTGTAAATACTCTGTGGCACGTCCTCCAATAAATTTTCTAAATGATTTTGCAAAAAACCTAAATAAACCTCAGCAGTCAAAGTCTCTGGGAACTCAAACGGACCGATTATTTTACCATTTAAAATTCCTGTCCAATGGTTTATCTTGAAGCGACATTGAGATTTATCTTCTCTCATCAAATGTGGGTTTGCTACGTGCCACTCGTGTAAGTTATGCAGGTTCATGTACCCATCTTTCTTAAATGTGGTCTCATCTGACCATAAATTTTTTTCAAAGAACCGTGGATCTTCCCTGTGTCTTTCTAACATTGTGCGACAAAAAGCAACTCGGGGCTCATAATACCGGGGCAGAAGAGCTTAAACACGCTGTACGTGGTATGGATGGAGCACGTTTTTTGCAAGATTCTATGGCTGTACTTTTGGACACACCTGTTTTTAGTTCTATTGCACGCACTGAAGTACTCGGGTCTTCTTCGACAGCTCCTAGCACCACGTCTTCGTAAGGAAGGAAATATCTTCCCTCACCGTGTGATTGGTTTGGTAGTTGGCCCTCTGAGAACAGTAAGCGGTACACATTTGCGAACACTCGATGATCTGGATGACGAGCTGCATTCGGGTACCTCTCACAGTAAAGTCTCGCTGCAGCACTAGCGTTGCATCTGCATTCCCCTTAAATGAGGTGCATGTTACCATATTCTTATACGATGTACACGGACATAGCGGCACTGCACAATCACACTATCAAAGATAGTCTAAGGAAAGCAAATGTTGTTTTGAAGAGAATTAAACAGTCCAAATCCAAATCACAAGCGAACAACAGTCCAGTTCACGAATCCAAAATTAGTAACAGTACGAAATCAACAAGCACGAACAAGTAAAGATGCGCAGTAAACGAAGGAGTACTGATCGGTATCAAAGTGTGCAATAGCAAGTAAGTGATGTGCTTCATCCATACCACATACAGCATGTTCAACCTCTCCTGCCCCGGGATTATGAGCCCCGAGTTGCTTTTTGTCGCACAATGTTAGAAAGACACAGGAAAGATCCACAGTTCTTTGATAAAATTTTATGGTCGGATGAGACCACATTTAAGAAAGATGGGACATGAACCTGCATAACTTACACGAGTGGCACGTAGCAAACCCACATTTGATGAGAGAAGATAAATCTCAATATCGCTTCAAGATAAACCATTGGACAGGAATTTTAAATGGTAAAATAATCGGTCAGTTTGAGTTCCCAGAGACTTTGACTGCTGAAGTTTATTTGGATTTTTTGAAAAATCATGTACAACATTTATTGGTGGACGTGCCACTGAGTATTTACAGGGACATGTGGTTTCAGCATGATGGCTGCCCAGCGCACTATGCACGCTCAGTGAGAGAGTATCTCGATCAAAACTTTCCAGGCAGATGGATAAGGCGGTCTGGTACAATACCGTGGCCAGGCCGATCACCTGATGTGAATCCTTTAGATTTTTTTACTGGGAACTGTAAAAGAAAAAGTGTATTTCAAGCCGATTCAAAATGTAGCTGAGCTACGGCAAAGACTATTGGAAGCAGCTGAGTTTGTTAATAACCGTGGATTCGTTCGTTTAATAACCCGATCTTTTTTAAGAAGATGTCGAGCGTGTATTGCGGCTGAAGGAAAACAGTTTGAGCATTTGCTGTAAAGGTAAATCATCATCAGCAGCATTTTGACGCCCACTGTTGTGCAAACAGTTATCCTTAAGGGTCCTTGTGCGTTTTCATAATCGCTGTTTAATTAGGGAATTTTGAAAAATTTTCATCAGTTTTTTTTTTCAAATAAAAATTGTGCATAAGTTAACAAGTAATCTTCTAAGCGTTATACCATTTTGGAATCGTTATAAAATGCGCCAACTTTTAAGGTTACTTGCCAAACTCTCGTAGTACATTTTTTCCAGTACAGCCAGTTAAAGTTGAGCAAAGTTTTACTTTGGAATACTTGGTTGGGAAATAAGTAGCAATTTTTCCTGAACGAGAAAAGTTGGCAGTAAGGTTGAGACACCAGTTTGAAGATGCATTATTCATCATTACGCTGTAAAAATAAAATCCAAAAAAAGTTAATATTTGTAGTAACAGGAGTTGACAGACTGCCGTAGGGTATGAAATTTCTATACCTTTTTCAAAGACCTATAATTTTCAAAACACATACATAATTTTTTTTAAAATATTTTTCTGATAGCTGTTATGACTTTGCCTATCACCCGGTTTCGGCTTGATGTCGACTTCTGGGACACCCTGTATAACTTGGGACGTGGTCATTGTCGAAGTATCCAACTAAAGGCGGAAGCTTTATTTTTCACCTATATTATATATATATATACAGGGTGACTTTTAAGTTGAGTCATTAATTTTCAGATAATGATTGTAGAAGGAAGATAAACCAAAATATGTGTGTAAAAATAAAAAGAAAATTAAAAAAAAATTTACCTTGTTTTATAAAGTATCCTCCCAACAAGTATTTCAGTGCGGACCTGTATTTGATCGTGAGGTCTTGGAGCACCGGCATGCCGTCTCCTGTGAGGTCTTAAGTCACCTGATTCATGAGCCCGTTGTACTACATTAACAAAGGCACGAGGGGTTGGTTGCACTCGATTGGGAAACCGATCCGCATAAACATGTGCCATTTTTATTTCGTTTGAGCCACGCAGCAAACACCACTATTCACTCACGCGTTACCGACTGACACATCGACTGAATAAAAATATCGTGATCAGCGTTTCAAATTTTTTCGCTTTTTTGTTTCCGATGGGATGAACCGATAAGACGGATTATATCCGTTGTTGCCAAACACAAGCACATAATATTATTATTGAGACAGGGCGGTACTCAAACTTCTAAAGGGCTATAACTTTGTTACTTTAATTTTACCACAAAAATGTTAAAGGAAAAAAACATTTCTTTTGATCAGATCTACTCACTGTTAAAATAAATGACTCAACTTCGAAGTCACCCTGTATATATATATATATATATATAAATGAATCCCTACTTCGCGTGGTCACGCCATAACTTGAGAACAACTTTACCGACCGATTTCATTCATCTTTGTATTAAAAGTTTCCTAATGGTGTATAGAAGGTTCTTACGGAAAGAAAAATCAAGACAATTGCGCAGTAAATTGGGAAATCGTTGAAATCGTAATGATTATTTAAGCTACGCGCGTTTGACAATTTGCTTGAGCATGGAGCGCGCACAGCAGAAGAAATATCTCAAGTACCAAAAGAGACAGGCACTCCTCTCCGCCATCTCTATTCCAACAGCTATTGACAGTTAGATATGTGAGAGAAAACTTATGAAAACACGGTGCTTTCGTTTTTGGACTTACATTTCTTTACCATCCGTACTTTGTGATGGCCCCTTCAAAAGAAACTGCAGTGTTGTCTAATTGTTATTTTTGTCAGTTAACTCTATGAATAAAAATGGCGGATGAAGATATGTTTCTTGTGCTTAATTGACTTTCACTACTCTATTATTCTGAACTTAAGAGTGTTTATCGATGAAAAAATATTGTTTTATTTAATTAGTACTGCACAGTCCATTCGATTAGAGCTTATGTCCAGTTTTCAGTTTGGTCAGTGAGTTTTCTGAGAAGTATTTGTTCAAAAATAATTAACAAGGGTGGAAGTTAGTTCACCGCAATCACGCCTTATATTAAAATGCATCCAATTAGACGTACCAACCTAGGTCGCAGAACTCGCAATACTGCGAGTCAAAGATATATACCAAGAAGTCAAACTGACGAGGAACGACAGGCGAGAAATGAACTTGAACGGACAGAAGGACTGAAATTCAACAAAGTAGAAGTGTCGCATTTAATACCAATCGAGCTGTATTCAACTGTGACGTGGCAATTGATTACAGTTCACAACAAATAGTTGCTATTGTTTGGCGCAACCAAATGCATTCCAAATAATTTTATGCCTACTTTGTAGGTAAGTTGATGGGGGAATGACAGTGCTGCCAACGAATTTTGCTAGCCACATGGCGGAACAAATACTTCGCTAAACAATTACCTATATTCCATATTTTTACCTCTTTATTATTCATAATTCATTCCGGTTCATAGCTAAGACAGGACTAAGGCCCGTATCGTCAGTCGTCCCTACAATTCTAGGGCGCCTTTATGGCCTCCTTGATTGTCATAATTTTCTACTTCTCCGTGTCAGAACTCTATTTTGAGGTTATGTCACAAACATCTATTTGCATCAAATTGTGCTTGCTTTTGAGTTATATCATGTTTTATCAGCCTGAAATTTCCTACAATTTAAAAAGAAAACATATCTTCACAATAGGAGAGCGCTGACGCTGACACGCAACAAGTGTAATCTAGAAATTTTTGAAGGAGAGAAAGGAGTATGACAATCAAGGAGGCCATAAACGCTCCCTACAATTGTAGGGACGACTGACGATACGGGCCTAAGACTGTCTTAGGGCGTCTGCGCGAGCCCTTAAGCTGTGTTTTTCCCTACATTGTAATTCATTGTTTTTATAATAAATGAAAATGTTCGCTAGTTGGAGTAAGCAATTGATCTACTTGATTAGTTAAATCTAATTTACAATCAATGGCCAGTCCTAAAAAAATGATGGTGTCTGTTTTGTGCGTCAATAGATTATTTAAAGTTGCATTACATTTCAGATTAAGCATTTTTAATGCAGTTAGTGTGGTTTAGTTATTTTAGCTGGCGTACTAAACATGTGTGCAAAATTGCGTGCAAATGTTATATTCCCCTGGAGTATATTTTTAACCTATAGTTAGACTTTGCCTCGAGTTATATACAGGATGATACAAGAAATCGCTACTGTATTTCTAGATCATATTCCTTGGAACTTTTCCTGTTTCACTAAAGAAATATTGTCACTGTTTCTTAATCACACTGTGTAACAATTTGTTGCTACTAGACAAGTTAAAGATATACAGATATTTATTGATCACGTTTCAGTAAATTAATGTTTTATGTTTTTCTGAAACAGATGTCCGAGCAGGATATAGAATTAGTCCTAGATAAATCGATGGTACTGTTTCGATTCCTACAAGAGAAGGACGTCTTTGAAAGGTACTATAAACAACATCTAGCAAAACGACTGCTATTGAACAAATCGGTCAGCGACGATTGGGAGAAAAACATGATCTCTAAGCTGAAGGTAAGTGTTATAAAAACATACAGGATCATTTCATCAGTTCATTATAATTGATAAACATTTTGATCCCGAGTACTACGAATATGTTAATCACATCTGAAGGCTAAAATCGAAAAGCTGGATGTGGATTTTATATCTCAGAATGAAAGTCCATTTTGAAAAGAATTGGAAAAGCAAATGTGTAATTTATTCATGAAACATTTGTAGGATTTCATTGCCCAAAGTGCGTAGCGTTTTCAACCAGCTGAGTAAATGTGGCGTCATTAAATTTTTTTACGATTATAATACTTCCTCCCCCAGTGGCATATGAAGTAGATTCAGAAATTCATTGGCGCTGTAATACGCTTTATCCACAGAAAAATGCACAACTTTTGTTTTTGAACTTGCCACAATTTTCAATATCTTCAATGGTTTTACTTAATTTATTATATAATTTTATGGCCATATAACTGGGACTTCGTTCTTATAAACTTAAATTATCATTATTAACAACGAATGCATATTTATTTCTTGTTCCATAATCATGTGAATCAGAATTCTTCACAAAATTCTGCTTATTACTTCTGCCTTGGAAAATCGCCTTACCTTACCTCGTAAGAAAATGTATATTATATATTATGTATATTATATATTACGTATATTATACTGTGCATTGCATTGACATATAAAATGTAACACCCAGAATTTTTTATTGAATTTTGATAAAAACTTGTAAACATATTTGCTATCATGGAAGTCTATGCTGATAAAATGTTGAAGGCATTCTGTGACGTACTTTTTTTGTAAAGGTTTTTTTTTGTCATATCAAGATCCGAACAATATGAACATGTTTACTTGATATTCAGTGATTTTCCTGTGTTGGTTTCATTTGTTTCATTGCATCATCATGCCTAGAGTTCGCATACGCGCTAATTTCACTCAACTTTCCCAGTTTGAGAGGGGTCGGAGATCGAGTTACGTGAAGACGGATTTTCTTTCAGAAAATTCGCTAATCGGGTGAATCGAATGAGATGTTGTCGAGCGTGGTTCTAAGAAGGCCGAAATCGACGAGTTACTGTACTGGACGTCAAAGACAGACTACACAGCAGTTGGGAACCAGCGGTTTGATGCTGTCGGAAGGACAATAACAATGACTACAGTTTATCGCCGAATAAGGTCTTTTGGACTGTTTTCATACTGTCCCCATCTTATACTACCTCTGACCCCACAGCATCATCGGCAACGGTTGGTATAGAGTAGGGAGAGACTTGAATGGAATATGGAATAGAACTCAGTCGTGATCAGCCATGAGTCCAGATTCTGTTTGGGCACACATGATGGACATGCAAGAGTAAGAAGGAGACGTGGTGAATATTCCATCGGACGTCATATACATCGCACTGTGGGTGTTACGGTATGGGGTGCCATTGCTTACGCAGCAGGTCACGGTTAGTGTTCATTCAAGGTAGCATGACTGCCCAGTGCTGTATCAACAAAGTTTTAAAACCACATCTGCTTCCCTTTCTGGAAAAATTGCAAGATCCAATTTTTCCAACATGTATGGGACATGATGGGAAGATGGTTGCAAAATTCACCGCTCCCTCCACAGACATTGGAGGTTCTACGAAACCAAATTCAGATGACCTGGGATACAATACACCAGGAAGACATCAATTACCTAATCCAATCAATGTCGCGACGACATAACGAATGCGTATTTAATAGAGGAGCTTCAACACTAACGTTAAGGTGGGATATCTTAGCTATTTTGCGAAATTTCGTGCTAAAATTTTAATCACTTTCTATTTATCAATAGGCCTAGTATGGTCAAAATTACAGCACTCCTAGTCGGTGTTGCATTTTCTATGTCATTTATATATCTTATATTGCATCCTTAAAAGATAAACCACGACAGTCATACGTAAAACTGCAGCGACCGACTCAAAAAGTTGTCGTAAGACAGTCATGAAAATTTGGGTTTATAGTACAACTGATGAGGCCAGTTTGGCTAAAATATTATCAAAACGGTGCCACTGTAGGTTGCACCGGAACCAGATGCCAGATTGCCAATTTCAAATACATTATTTAATTTTTGTATTCTACACCAGGTTCTATCTAAATACATTGTATATCATACCTACGTGTAACCATTTTTGAAATATCTCATATTTTGTGTAAAAAATGACAAATGCATCCCAATGAGTTATGACGATTTTTTCTCGTATTTTTGCATTTGCCATAAGATTTGTATGTAAACCCTTTGAGTAATCAACTGCTGCAGTCCTACGTGAAACGCCCCAGGTAAAATGCGTAAGTTGAAATGTAAGAGAAATCAGATCTCTACGAAAATTTTACAGTAACCTAAAAGCTGTTAACATACTCCGTAAACTTTGGACTTGTCCTAATTTTAAATATATCTTCGTACCAAAAACATTTTCTAACACAGCTGCACAGTGGATGCAAATGTATTGACCGAGCCAAAATATACATTTGGGCCGGGAGAAAAACCATATGAAGTTAAAAAATGGGACAAGCTAAACTACGAAGTTTGAATCTTATGTTAACGGGTGCAAATCATATATGGTCTTTAAACAGCCCGGATACGGCAGTTGAAAACCATGAATCTGTTAAAAATTCTATCCAGGCATAGATCTAGGATTTTTTTCTGGCTATCTGATGGTGACAAAGTTGGCTTGGCCTTGACCTTCAAGGTCATTTCAATCCCATGTTCATTTTCTTAAATGAGACCCTATATTTTTGACATAAGAAATGGATATAGCGGAAATGTTTCGTTCAAATTAGTTATTGGCCTTCAAAAAGATTGTGTTTTGAAGGTCATGCTCAAGGTCTACAATGTAATCCATAAAATATTCTCGAAAATCACGAGTTTAAAAGAAATTCTAGCTGGCCTAGGATTTTGCCCCGGCTCTTTGACGGCGATATTGAATTTGGCCTTCAAGATTATTTCAGGTCAGGTTTCATTTTTTAAATTAAATATAATTTCTTTTTAAAACCATGGCTTTCAAAGTCATTTTATCGTTTAGATAGTTGTCCTTGACCATGACCATCAGTCATTTTTTTCTGAGGTCAAGGGCTCATCTGAACATAAAATGGTCTGCCCTATCCATTTTCTGTGTCAAATTATAGTCTCATTTTAAGAAATGGAATTGATCTTGAAATGACCTAGGAGGTCAATGTTTCGGTTAAATTCAAGGTTATCGTCAAATAGCCGGGGGAAAATCCTACACCCCTGCCTGGGTACAATTTCTCTCGAATCATTTTATTTGCCTTATTCCGGCTTTTTAGCCAATACGCATGAGTGCCCATAGTCGAATAATAAAATGTACACCTGAAAGTGTGATCTGTTGATTAAACACATTCACGGTTGTGATAATCACGTCGCTCTGCAAAAAGTCTCCAAAATTTCGGGAAAACGTGCCTTTAAAAACTAATAATTTCATCAAGTGATGTATTAGTGTCTGATCAAACTAAATTCCTTGTCTGCGTAATGTAATAATTTCTCAGTCAGAAAGAGAAGTAACTTATCCAACACCAAGTCAGTGGCGTGCTTTCGATTGGTTGATTTTCAAGATAATCAATGCTCTTTGGAAACTTCTACGATGCCGGTGCGAACAACATGCAAATGCTGTAATCAAGCTTGTGACAATCACCTGTTAGTCACTTGCTCAGTATGTAAAGACAAATATAAACATAGCTGTGTCGATATTACTGCTAATGAAGATCGGACCTTAAACTCCAACAAAGGCTATGATTGGACCTGTGCTAGCTGCTAGCTGTAGAGTAACTGGTAAAGACATCAAGGATTTGAAGTCACTTATCCCTCAGCTCCAAAATGAAATTAAGGAGCTAAAAGCTGATGGCATATCGAACAAGAAGATGGATTTTGGCTTTGAAGATATAGTTGCGGAAATCACAGAAAGACAGAAAAGGAAAAACAATATTATAGTTTTCAATATTGAAGAACCAGATCAGGGAAAATCTCTCGACGATAGAGCCGAATGTGACAAGCCTGCAGTTAAGGAAATTTCGCGATGTGTTTCACCTGAATTGTCGCCTACTGATCTCAAGCCAATTCGACTTGGACGATATACTGCTTCGAGGAAACGATCTGTCAAGTTGGTATTCAAGGATAATGATACAGTTCGAAATATACTAAGACACTCTAGTAATTTGAAAAATAGTCCTAATTTTAGGAATGTCGTTATATCCAATGATCGCACCTCTAAACAAATTGAGCTATACGTATATAAGGCTGTCAAGCAAGAACTCGAACCACATATATTAACGATGTACCAAAAATTATGGCTTTAAACTGAATGAGCCCAGCAGTTCTTCTGACAAGGAGGAGATATCTTTCTACTACCAAAATGTGAGGGGCTTGAATTCAAAATTTGATTGCTTTTATACATCTCAATGAGTGAGTTTGACTTTATTGTGATCACTGAAACGTGGCTCAAAGATAGAACGCAGAGTGAAGAACTTTTTTCGGACACTTACCAGGTATTTAGACAGGACCGTAGACTAGATGTATTAAATATGTCCACAGGTGGTGGAGTTTTGATTGCAGTTAGAGATTCAATCAATGTCATACCTGTTGATACCTCGTTTTTCAATGATAGTTTCCCATATATTGATTTTTTGTGTTGTAAGTGCTACATTTCTCAAGTCACATTCTACGTAATTGCATTGTATATCCCCCCCAGCTTAACCCTCTATGACTTTGATCACTTTTTGAAGCTTTAGAAGAATGGGACTTGTTACATGCTTGGTGACTTTAACGTACCTAAATTTATCCTAAATGATGGTAATAGTAAAACCAGAACAATAAATAATTTTGTCTCTCCTAGATCTGAAACAGTATAATAATGTAATGAACACATCCAACAGGCTCTTAGATTTAGTATTGGGTAATGTTGTATGCACTACGGAGTGTGACCATATTCCTCTAGTGCAACCTCATGACCATCATCCTGCTCTTATCATTAAGTTTCCTCATATTAATCATCAGGAACCATTATTTGGCACCAATAAGCATTCCAAAGTATATAATTTTAAAAAAGCCGACTTTGTTGCATTATACAATGAGTTAACTATTATTGATTGGTCATTTTTGAAAGCATTTCAGGATGTTAATAAAGCAATTGACGAGTTCTACAAAAAGTTTTATGGAATCTTGGATAAGCATGTACCGTTATTCAAAAACTTCAAGCGGAGGTTTCCAAGATGGTATAATTCGTCAATAATTAAGAACATAAAAGATAAGGCAAGAAACCATCGTAAATGGAAACAAACTAAAAACAATTTTGACAGAAACGAGTTCATTAGACTAAGATTACTCATCAAATCACAATTAAAGGTTGCGTACGAAAGCTATTTGCAAGAAGTTCAAGAGTCGGCGAGAAATAACCCCGCTTCTTTTTCTTCATTTATATATCGAAAGAACAAAACATCACGGATTCCATGTCATACGACTCATCTGAATAATGTATCGATGATCCTCAGTCAATTGTAAATGCTTTCGCTGAATTCTTTAAGGCAGTTTACTTGCCATCTGATACCTATTACGGTGGAAACCTATTTTCTAACATCCAATGTATTGTCAACTTAACTCAGGAGAGTATAACTGAAAATGAAATATGTGATGCAGCAAAAAAACTGAAGTCCAAGATGACCTCAGGGCCAGATAAGCTCCCCTCTTTCCTGGTCAAGGATTATGCGCTTGGTACAGTAGATGCTCTGGATATTCTTTTTAATCTCATATTATCTACAGCTAAATTCCCAGATAAATGGAATAAATGGAAGGAAACCAGGGTTTGTCCTATTTACAAAGCGGGTGACCGTGATTCAATTGAGAACTATAGATCGATCTCAATATTGAATAATTTTGCCAAGTTATTTGAAATAATTCTTTACAATCACATCTACCTTTCCACCTATAGTCAAATATCCCCAGCATGGCTTCATGTGTGGTAAGTCAACTGTCACTAATTTGGCAGTATTCACTCAGCCTCTAATGTCCTAGACAATCAGGAACAGTTGGATGCAGTTTACAGTGACCTTCGATAAGGTTGATCATGGGGTGCTCATTGCTAAGCTGGGTTCATTTGGTTTTACTGACAAATCAATATGGTTATTAATGTCTTACTTGTGGAATCGACAGCTGTACGCTTCTTACAATGGTTTCGAATCGTTTCGATACAATTCGTGATCTGGGGTGCCACATGGCTCTAACCTTATTATTTTTGATCTTTGTGAATGATGTATCTGATTATATTGATTGTGGTAAACTGTTATTTGCTGATGATTTGAAACTGTATGTTAATATTAATAGTGAAAGAGATTGTGAGTACAAACGCAACTTTGCCGTTTGGAAGATTGGTGTATGCTAAACAGGTTACATTTGAATATTACTAAATGCAAGGTAGTTACTTTATCCCGAAAGCTACGTAAAATAGAATATGCATACAGTATTGGGGGAATTGAGGTCACTCGAGTTAATACTGTTCGTGATTTGGGTGTTATGTTTGACTGTAATATAGATAATATTGTGAGTAATGCTAATAGGGCCTTAGGTTTTCTCATCAGAAACTGTAAGCTAATCAATGATTGAGAGCACTAAAAACCTTGTATTATGCTTATATAAGATCCAAGTTAGAGTATGCATCCCTAATATGGAATCCCTACTATAACTGTTATATAAACAGGATAGATTATGTTAAAAAAAGATTCTTAAATATCTAGCTTTTAAGTGCGATAGAGTCTACCCTCAACGTGTATCGGACTATCAAATTCTGTTAGACAGATTTAAAATGACGTCTTTGAATGTGAGAAAGAATCACAGTTCTATTATTTTTTGTTTACACTCTTGCATGGAACTATAGTTTCTTCGGAATTGTTATCACAAATACAGTTTTTAACGCCAAGATCCGTTTCAAGATGTAATGTTACTGTCTTTTGCAGTCGTGCTAACACAAATTTGATTTTGAAATCACTTGAAAGGGTTATGTGTTTGAATTATAATAGTATTTGTAAGTTTAGTGACATATTCTTATGTTCTATTTCGGAGCTGAAATGTGTTTTGCGGGAGCGCCTTAGATAGTTTTATAAGTTATTCTTTTGTAATATTTCTAATTTAAGATTTTGGGCTATAAATGGAATATTATCTGTTGGGCAATAAAAGCTATAAATAAAAATAAATAAATAAATGGACCACTCATAATGATGTTTAATGATAATGCTATTTTTAATGATTAGCGTTCACCGTCAAAATAGAAACTATTAATAGTTCAGTTCTCAGTATTATGTGTGGAACTCGGTAATTTTTGATGTCTTCTTGAAATTGGACTACCATGTATGGATGAAAATTTCGAGTCGATTTTTTTCGAAAATCCATGCATTTAAGATCTGTACCGTTTTTCAGATCTGTGTGAATTTATCTTTGGTTAAAATGTATATTTTGATTAGGTATTTATTGTTTTTGTTTGTACTTAACCATGTTATGTGAACCTTAAGAGTTCGTTTAGTGTTGTAAACAGGCGATCGTAGGAAACTAGAAAATCAACGACACAAGGTGGAGAAGGCATCTAATATTGGACGACGATGATCTACTGTAATTTGTTATGCCTGCAAAACTGTCACACTGTATTTGTGCTTGTAAGACTAAAAATTATCACATACATTTTTTGTCTCTCCATGCATACATGCTGCATTTGAACATTTGCTGATAACAGACAGTCACAATCACAACATATTTATTTTGGTGTATGTGATAAATTGAAATAAAAGCTACAAGTATAGAAGAAAACACAACGTTCACCTTAAATTCTGAAGCTTGAACTGTGATTGTGTCTCAGTCGCATTTGCTGTGGCTGGTAATAAAAACAATCTGAACTGAAAGAGGTCCCTTCGTTATTATTTTAAAATTTAAAGTTTGTGGTTATGTCTTCCTTGATCACGATAATACCTATTAACCGGCCGCTTGGAGCGCTAATATCGCACATATCGATCAAAGAAACTGCAGCTGACCAACTATCGAAAGAGAAGTAATGTAACATGCAAATATAAAATTGTTTCTAGCGACTGGATTACATTATTGCCTTTATTATTTTTTTATTTTAATTTTTTTTCTCCAAATTAATATCCTATCAAAAACAGCGAACTCTTGCATTTTACAAAACCTTACTTAAGAGAGTAGAAACGTGGGATAATCATTAACAATTTTGGCGGAGATTTTTAATATTGATTTTGCTTTTCAGACGGAATGCGGTTGTCAATTTACATCAAAATTGGAAGGAATGTTCAAGGATATGACTGTATCTAACACAATTATGGACGAATTCAAGGAACACGTGGTAAAATCAGAGGTACAAATACAATGTAGTTTTTTTATTTTAGGTTTTGAAACGAATAGTGTGATTAACTATTAATCTGAAAGTTTGCGCGCATGCATTGTACTGGAATACCTTGAAGAAATTAATATTCTTATATTTTTCAGACGAATTTGGGAGGAGTAGATTTGTTTATGCGTGTTCTTACCACTGGTTTCTGGCCTACGCAAAGCGCAACGCCGAAATGTCACATACCCGCAGTTCCACTTGCAGCATTCGAATGTTTTAGGAGGTAAATATATATTTTACTAACTTAAATCGCGTGAAATACTGTATAGGTCATTCGTTTTGCATTAGTATGGAGGAGATTGGTTTCTGACAAAGAAATGCTATATTTACTGTAATGCAATAGTTACTCTAGTAATGGACATTATTTATTGAACATTTTAATGCAAATAAATAAATTTCAAATGTGTAACTACAATAAATAATACGTGAAGTAACGCTTAGGGACCATTGATTTATTTCAAGCCATTTTGGTGAACAACTTTTGTTGTATTATTTGTAGCATAAATGTATAGATTTTTCAGGACCTACTCTCCTGGCCCAAGTTTTATTACTTCTTAGGGAATGATTAGATTTACGCTTCTCAAAAACTTTCAAGTAATAATAGGTCCCACGGACCGCTCTGACAACCAACGATGACTTGAATCACCCAAATTGTAACAAATCTAACTACAATTTGATTACTATCGCACATAAGACACACAACTAAATAATTTATTTACAGAGTGTTCCTAAAGTAGTCTAAATAGCAAGCCAATAAATCAAAATCAATTTCCTATTTATCAATCGAGACTTTTCATGACAGCGGAGCGAACCAACAACCAAATAGGAACAGTATTTTAAACCCATAAGCACACTAAAAAAACAACTTTACTGCAATATGTCTACAATAGAAGACATCTTAATCTAATAACTATTTTTTCATAGTATTATACTTAATGTAAAACTACACACCAAACAAGTCTAAATCAACACGATCGCGCTAAGAAAACGAATGTCGGTCGAACCAACGACTGAGCGCTTCCGCGTCACTTCATGTCAAATTCCATTAATGTGTTTGGGCTGTATTCCGCGCAATCGATATTTCAAATTTATTCTTCTAATGATCCTTTTTATATTAATCTCTTGTATTCGATTGGATTTGAGGTCGAAAGAAACACAGCTTCCTATTTTAAAGTTGCAGGCGCTTCGGAAAAGTTTATTTCCTCCTTCAGGCCTTACAAAAAAATTATTAAAATACTAACTTTACATATACATTAATTAACAATTTAAATAATAAAATCGAAGTAAAATGTGCTATTTTGGTGAAGGTATCCCCGTATTATATTAACAAGATGGCAATTCCATTCATATATACACAAAAAAATAAAAATAAAACAAAGATAAAATGATTAGATAGATATGTAAAAAATGAAAAAAGTTCAACGTTATGCACATCTTAGATATTTTTTAGACTGCAACTGATCAACATAACATACGAAAGACTATTACAAGGTACAGATAGACACTTATTGATGAAACGGAGAAAGATATTTCTAAATAGGGAAAATCTGAGGTATTTTTATTATATTTGACGTTCTGCCTTTTTGTTGATAAATACTATCTGGTGGTGATTATTTTGTCTCCTTGAAATTAATGATGTTTTAGTACATAATACTACTTAAATTGTTCCTTCATGTATATGAGTTAGTGGTATACATTTTTTGTAGAGGCCTGAAGAAGGAAATAAATTTTTCCGAAACGTCGGCAACTTTTATAACAGGAAACTCTATTTTCCCGGGATCAAAAATAGACTATAGTCTATGTACTAAATTTCCTCAGAGCCGTAGGGTTATTACGTAAAAAACCTATATAATGTCAAAAAACCGATAAAATGTCAACTTGTTGAATAGATAGCTGGTAGTGTGCAAATAGTTCAATCTGCTCCTGCTAAAAGTGAGCATGAGGTGAATGACTGCTAGTTCCCAGTTGACATCTTGTAGCGAAAAATCGACATGACGTAACTTTTTAAGTTAGTAATACCACCTTTAGGTGTGGGGGGATTTATTTCATTTATAATATCAGTATGGAAGTAGGAATACTCGCAGTCGGTTGCACGAAATCAGATCCCGGATAAACATCTTCGTCTTAGAAGGTGACTAGCGTCACCTAGTATTCTAGGTGCATCCTCGGATCTACGTTGAGTACAGTGAGCCCTCGCCAATCGGCTTGCACGCGTTGGAAAAAATGTAGACGTCATCAAACTGTTAGTGGAATGTAGGCGTAATCTTTATGGTAAAATTTGTGTCATGTATGGTCGACTGCAGTTTGGCAATGGTGCATATATTTCGCTGACGTCATTTATCAGATCATAAGACTGTTTGAACTTCAAATTGCTCTTAACCTCAAAACGATTAAATGTCTGTTATTTTGATATATTTTTATAATGCACGTGTCAGCACAAATATTCTTGTCCGACGTCCGTTAGGTGCTGCTTGTGTGGTTGGGGTCAAAACTGTCAAATATAGATCAACACACTTGATAGAAATGTGATTGAAAAAAGTCATTTGATAGAAAGATAATTTATTTTACACTTTTTGGCGTCTGTTGACATAAACAGCTGATCAGCATTGACATGTTTGTCTGTTCATAATCTTAAATATGACATATTTGAGCCTAGTTAACGCCACCTGCCTCCAGCTTTCCAGATTACCATATATTGTCAAGCAATGATACACGATTCATAGATATAGTACAGCACCGGAGTGCGTTTGTAAATCACTTGGTAATGTACGGTATACACAGTAGTGGAATGTTGATTGACAGATGAAATTTCACTCTGAAATACTGTGAAATCTTATTTTTAGAACACCTAAATTATTACAGAGTCATGAAATGACATTTGATGCCAGTCGACTAATTTCTAACCACATTTTCTGGGACCATTGTATTATGAGAGACGCTATAGATACGAGCGAGCCCATTTATCGGCAAAAATATAAATTCAACACTATTATTTAAAAGGTTTCGAGCTTGGGAAGAAAAGTGCACTTTTGATATTGCAGAAAGATTACTTTGATCTATTTCTGAACGCATGTAACACGTACGTCAGACTATTATGAACGATAAAATTGTTACAGAGCAGTACAAAGTACACTCTGTAACAATTTACAAACGCACCCCAGTACTTGTTAAGATAGAAAGCAAATAGGGGAGAAAACTAGAAAATTAGTACTTTAAATGAATTGGTCGTACATTATATTATTTCCTTATTACATGAAATATTTGCGTTAAATTTTGATTAATTTAACGTAACTTTTTCCTAGGTTCTATTTAGCTAAGCATAGTGGAAGACAGTTAACCTTACAGCCGCAACTGGGCAACGCTGATCTCAATGCTGTTTTTTATGGACCCAGGAAAGAGGAAAATGAAAAAGATGGGGCCTGTTCATCTTCAACCAGTTTAGTTTCGAATAGATCTGGTCCCAGAAAACACATTATCCAGGTATTTTTTATAACGCTTATTGAGATCATTTTAGATTTTCCAAACCAATCAGAAACCAGCATGTTTCTGAGATTCGAAATTACATATCTCCGGATATACCTAGTTGTGATATATTTTTTTAAATTCTAAAAAGACAATGGTTAATTTTGGTGTTGTTTCTATATCTTCTATATCTTGCGGCTGGCGGTGAATTCAATTTCTTGTTAGGTTTGTTAAAGACAAATAATCAGTTAATATACGATTAGTTATGTACTGTTTATGATTCCTATAGATCCAAAATTATTCCTTGAAAGATCTTATTGCATACATGCGCTCCAAAAACGCAGACATCGGCCAGAGTACCATTTGTTAACGATGTTTGGAATTAATTACAAATTTCAGAATTCCATTACCTCTACATCTACCGTAGCTCATAAGTAACGGCAAATAATGGACATAGAACTAGTAAAATGCATTTATCAGTTGTTATAACACATATCCCAGAAAAACTTTGTTGCAAGGTTTGAAAAGATCCATTTAATGGTGAATTTGGAAGTGACCTCGACTATGATCTTCAAGGTGATTTGAAGGTCAATACAGTTTTCTTAAATCCCCCTATTTTTGACACCGGATACAGAAAGAGAACTTTATGTTCAAGTATGTCCATGACCTTGACTATGATAATCAAGGACATCTGAAGATCAAATGTATGTTTAATAGGAAACGTCTATTTTTACTGACTTACTGACCATATGATCTTCAAGGTCATTTTAACATCGAATAAATGTTCAAGTAAACTCCTTTTTTTTCTAGAATATAAAAAAGCGAAACATTGATAAACCGGCTATAAAAAGAAAATTGATGAACATTTTCCCAAAATTCTTGTTTAATTGGAAAGGATGAATCTTGGTATAGTTCTAGTCACCGTTCTTGGCGGTTCAAAGTAAAACTCCCATTTCCCTTTATATAGGGTCAAGTGGTGCAAAAATGACACAGCCGAAATTTCGGTCAAAAACAAGACATTCAATTTTTCCCAATGCAAAAAAATAATAACATTGTAAAAAATACGTTACAAACTACTTCCACATATATACAATTGAAATATGTAATGAATAATAAATAAACTTAAACACAAACATCGAGAAAAAAAACTATCGCATCTGACTGTGCATTTTCCTTAAAAAATCTTTTAAATTGTATTTACAAATTTTTCCTGTTGCGCCGCTGTACGTGATCGTAGAGACTCGGCAAGTATCGCGTTTTCAAAATAACAGATGCGGCTATGATATTCCATATCGAATTTAGTCTATTTTTATTTGTTGGCAAGTAGGCACGTCGTGAATAACAAGACACCACAAAGTTTAAAAACAAGACACCTGCCAGGTAAAAAACAAGACAGCTTTTATACCTTTGATAATAATGCCAAAGGTTTACGTTCCCAAAAAGCGCCCCTACGACAAAAAGGACATGGAAACAGCCCTAAAACTAATAGATAATGGCAATTTATCTCTTAGAAATGCAGCTAAACAGTTTAAAATTGACAAATCTACTCTTTCGAGAAGACGTACTCGTTCACTTGGTAAACAGGGAAGAAAAACTCTAACCAAAGAAATGGAAGTAGACTTACGTGATAAGATAAAAATTATGGCAAAATGGGGGTTTGCTCTCACTAAACCAGAGATACAAGCAATAGTTCAAACCTATGTACAAGAAAACCACCTTACTACCCAGTTTAAGGAAGGAAAGCCCGGGAAAGATTGGTTTAAAAATTTTTGTAAGCGCAATAGACTAAGTCCAAAAAAGCTTGAGCAACTGGAAAGATGCAGAAGGATAGCTAAAAAATTATGTTTCACGACCTACTGGTCTAAACGGCTTGATGGATTTTGACATATGATGTGTTGTCGGACTCCTCTTTGTAGTGCGACTGACACTGGCTATATCAAAATTTATAAAATCACAATGAGGAATTTTGATCGAAATTTTTTTGTTTGAAATTATGATCTACAGCTTAAACGGCTTGATGGATTTTATCATGAGGGGACTCTATTTTGTCTTGGCAGTGCAAATGACACTAGGTATACAAAAATGTTATCAAATCAACACGGCGGATTTTCTTCGCAAATGTCAACTTCGATATTTCTATTTTACAGGCTACAACTTAAATAGCTTGATGAATTTTGACATTTTGAGGTGTTCTTAGATCCGTCTTGATATCACAATTTAAACTTCACTTTCAGTTACTGCAGTCGGTTTTTGTATTATTTAAAAACGCGTACTTGTGCTTGTTCACATAGTCTTTGAGGTGCCAATGAAGCTTCATCTGAAAACATGATTTTTTGAATTGTCATGAGGCTTCAGTTTTTTGACTAGTTGAACTACCTTCATATCATCAAACATAAAACTAATTTACTGACATGTTGTCCATGCTATTTTATTTTACTATGTCAATATGACAGCTACTTCAAATTCCAAAGATTAGATAGCTCACCTTGTATTTTTGCCTTATTTTCAGGTGTCCACGTATCAAATGGTAGTTCTAATGCTATTCAACAACCACGACAAGTTGACCTACGAAGAAATCCTGAACGAATCCGATATTCCTGAACGAGACCTCATAAGAGCCCTGCAATCGTTGGCTATGGGAAAAGCCACACAAAGGGTGCTCATTAAAAATCCGAAGACAAAGGAAATCGAAAGTAGCCATGAGTTCTACGTTAATGACTCATTCACGTCCAAGTTACACAGGTAAAATTTCTTCTTTTATTTTATGAAATATTATTCTTTATATTTCATAAACTGATATGGTTCACGACAGATTTATAGCGCCTGTTTATATTTTTTATCGCAGGTAAGCAGACACTATAAGTGTGTTGTGAAGTACAGGGTGGTCGATATCTAACTGACTGGTTTGTATCTTGAATATATCTGAAATGAAATAAAATGCGTCCATTTTTTTCATCTGAATCTTTTGTTGAAACTTAGAAATTAATTATGTATGAAGAATACTATCACACAAATGTCCGCCTCTAGAAGCCGCGCAAACCTGAGCCATCGTGATAATATTTTCCATCACTTTTTGGTAGGTTTCGGGAGGAATATTTTCAGTCGCTTCCGTAATATTATTCTTCAGGTTGACATAAACCCTATTTTTCAAAAATCCCATAAAAAAAGTCAGGAGCTGTTAAATACGGTGACCTTGGTGGCCAGTTGATATAACCAAATCGAGAAAAATTAAACGTCTCGGAAATATTGTTCGCAAAAGATTCATTGTTTCCCTAGCTGCTTGACAAGTTGCTCCGTCCTGCTGGCACCACATATTTTGCAGGTTAAATTGTTGGATTTGATGAGCCAGAAATTTTTGCACCATATCACGGTAGCGCTCGCCACCAATCACCGCTCCAATCTGTCACTCGTCGAGGATGTAGTGGTCGTTGATGGATGACATGGGGGTTCTCTAATGCCCAGATACGACAATTCTGCTTATTAACATTCTGTTCATATCGAAGTAGACTTCTTAGCGCATTACCAGTTGTCGGTAAAAAACCTGCAATATTGCATGATCTTATTGTCGGCGACTTTCATGGTCACTAGGCTGTAGGTCTCGGGTTTTGTATGGCCGCATGTGATGAAGAGAATACTCCATAACAAAGAAGAAAACATACTAATTTCAAATGAAAACTGAAATTCGTGGTATACATAAATTAAATAATTTTCTGAGTGTTATATATGTTTATTAAACAATAAAAGATAATCAGTTTTCATACACTTAATATATTTTTTACTAATCTTCTTCCTTGTCTTCTTCATTCGAATCACTGTATCAGACCATCCTTCAGCATCATCGGAGGTACTTGTTGAAGGAAGAACTCGTGTTGTCCTTACAGAAGATGAGGTGGCAGTCTTTTGAGATTGAGCCATGTGGAATGCATATGATCTGCATTTAGGACACAACTTAGAACCAATCACAGTTTTTAGATTTTCTAAGTATTGCTATAATGTTTTTGTTCAAGCAGCTACAGAATTGACTGTTTGTTTTTCGCCACGTTTTACAACAATCACGCTGGCATCCAGGCATTATTGTTTTATCAAGTTTTTCAATAAACGTTGTACGCGACAGCACAGCACAGTTTCTATGCCTTTACTATGTAAATATTTTTCGAGCGCGAAAAATCATGTCTGAACACGCAGCGATTGCACCGTAACTCATACTCTCCCGCGGCATATATTACGTATTTTTGGATTGATGCGATCACTGAACCAAAATTAATAAACACTCATACAAGCTTATGATAATTAGACTCACTGAGCATTAAAGTAAATCTGGTTCATGGAACGCTTCGTAGGGAAAACATGATTCAAAGATCGAAAAACAACAAAAATGCACAAAAAGCGCTAAATACTCTATTTCTTGGCAATAATTTCTGAAGCATATTACATTATTTATACCGTAATTATTATATAATGAAAAATACACGTCTTGAAGTTAACAAATAAATTCCATAATAGTCTGGAATAGAACTTTTTATTTTTGCGTGTGTTATGGGCGAAAAATGGCACTTATCAACCCACCTCCTTTCCGCATCAACTGACGAATGTGTTGAATCGTTGCAACAATCGACTCATTATTTAAGTAAAAAGGTTTAACAATACGGACGCATTGTGGAATCGTTGTAGCGCTTCATGATGAATTGGACACGTGTGCTTTAAACAAATACGGCGCCACCACCTGAAAATTCGTGTATCAAAAATGATGCCCATTTTAAGTCAGGCAGTTATATATTGGCCACCCTGTATATTACCGCTTGTTAGGTCCAACTCAAATTGAATTTTTTCAGAGTAAAAATCCAGACAGTTGCAGCGAAAGGCGAAAGCGAGCCAGAACGCCGAGAAACTAGAAACAAAGTAGACGAAGACAGAAAACACGAGATTGAAGCTGCCATCGTACGCATCATGAAATCTCGCAAACGAATGGCGCATAACATCCTGGTGACCGAGGTCACAGAACAGTTGAAAAGCAGATTCCTCCCGTCACCTGTCATCATCAAAAAGAGGATAGAAGGACTTATCGAACGCGAATACCTCGCGCGCACTCCAGAAGATAGAAAAGTGTATACCTACGTAGCGTGAACTGCTAAGGACATGGAGCTCGGCTCAATTGTGACTGTTAGCAAGTTAAGGGGGCTCTCGTTGGATCCGAAAATCTTTTTACATTCAATCGAGGATTTGCCGTGGCGATATAGTCACTTGCAGGATCTGAAGTATAGGTTTGCACTTATACATGTGCATTATCCACGAAATATAGAACAATTGCAAAATCAAACCTACGGATACTCCATTCAAAATGCGAATTTAAGATTAATTTGACTTAAATCTTATGAGTTGGGTGTTATTTAGCTTTTAATCATTACAAAATATATTTATTACAAAAGATATATTTTTTTATGTTAAATTATCAATAACTTGCAGCACTTCCAACGAGGAGGTTTTTGGCGTTACTACAATTTTTATTAAAAACACGTTTTCATATATTTAATAAAACTAAACAACACTTACAGCAACCTCCTCCTGGCTAGCGTGTCAGTTTTAGGTGAAATTGCAAAGTAAGTTATTAGGTACCTACATAGCTGTCATGTTATAGGTTTTTCGGGCCGCTTACTCCGTATCAGGTAATTTGAACGGCATGTCCTAGCCATTTCAAGGTCAAATTAGGAAAATAGTAATTTAATTTAATGACCTATAAATCCCTTCATATGACCTAATAAGGACCTCAGATTTGAACTCAGCGACCCCAAAACCGACGTACACGACCAGTAGATTCGTGTTTCTGGCATTTTCTCAACTTGATGTTGGAATGATCGTATGACCACGACACGCTCTTCAAATGATCAGATATGGACAAACTGAGATCAGATTCGGGCTTTGCGAACACAAAAACGGACGTACAGGTCTGCTAGATTTGGTTTTACGGCATTTTCTCAATTTTACCTTCTCGATACGGCCTTCAAATGACCTGGTACGGACTCGGCTACTCCAAAAATCATAACAGCTACGTGCCAGATGCCTGATTATTTACTTCATAAACTTCGAAATTTCACCTAAATCTGGCACTAGCCATAAATGCTGTTTGTGGTCAAATCGTTCAGTTATTTTATATACATAAAAACATTTGATCTTTCTTTTATCAAAATTGTAGGCCCTCCTCTGTTTTTATCGGTAACGTAGCTCACTTTTGTTTTTCAAACGCGTGGCTAAGGGAAGGACGTCCCGATTGAAGAAATTTGCTAGAATCCTCTAAATAGTTCTGTTCATTAAGACCCCTCACCCTATATTTTTTTTTCAACCGGTCGAGATAGCAGGATCATGAAACTGACGTAGTCCAAGAAATACCTACGCATCTGCTAGGAAAATATATTGATTCGTTTTTTGCATACTCATTCATAAAGCACCCCTTTAAACGAATCTTCATGTTACCAGGCCCAAATCTACATTTATTTTAAATTAAATTCCTAAAATTCTTTTTTCTTCATTCCAGACAAAGCTCTAGTTTTCTGGATCATTCTGAAAAAGGTCCTCATGGCCCTTTCTCTAAACTTGATGACTCATTTAATATTTGAAAAAATGCGAAATATACGATTTTCAATGTCGAAAGACAATATGAAATAACGCGTGCAATAATGTTTAATCGTCTGTAATTCCATGATAAATTCAAAAAATGCCATTTTTTATGTTCTGATCAAGGTCATCTGTACTTCTCGAACTCCGAAGTAAACCACACGTTCACTGATTCAACAGTCTCATATTTGCTTGGTCTGGCTCATTTCACTTGTAAGACGAACGCAACTATTAGCTTCAAACTAAACACGATACCGCGTTTTATTTAAAAAAAAAATACCACCATATTGAACCTTACACTAAAATGTTGTTTTTTGCACCTCTCTTATCATTACGAATTTGGCCCGTCAAAACACAATTGGGTGACGTTAATAAAAGCAGTGTCATTGATTCTACTAAAAGATAGCCAACGTAATACCATATTCTCGCGTCTAAAAAGTTATGAGAGATAAAATGAGATACCGTAGCAACATATGTAAGATTCTGTCACATCTGTTCCTGTATTTACTATAATTATATATTTTGAAAAGACTAGTGTGCCTTCTATGACACTAGCCTTTACAAAGTATGTATATATAGTAAATAAAGAAACAGCTGTGACAAATCCTTGAAGATGATGGTACAGTATCTCATTTTTTTCTCGGGTAATTTTTTGGTTAGAATTCTTATGTAGAATACCTTGATTACTGACAGTGTATAATTTGAGTCTGTTGTGTGAATGAAGGTAGCCATAAATGACTTCACGCGCCTTTTTGATAATGATTTTTCGAATATTTCTGTGTTACGTTTAATTGGTGCTAAATATGGCAAGAAAATTTGCACCAGTGCTGAAGCAAATGTTTAATCAAATTTGATGTTTTGCTACTGAAACCCTGGAAATACCCAAATAGAATGCCACGCGGTCTTTATTCGGAAAACGGTTGTGAACTCTACTATTAGCATTGATAAACGTTGGAATACGTTTATTCTACCTGAGGATAGTCAACTCAATACTATATTCGCGCGTGCGAAAAATTATCCAAGACGAAATGAGGTACCGTAGCGTCATCAATGACAATTTGTCACAGCTATGTTTCTCCTCTCTGCAATAGAAACGTACATTGAAAAGGTCAGTGTCTAGATGGCGCTGTAGATATATACTCATATATAGTTGGATACAGCGCCATCTATGAGACACTAACCTTTTCAAAATAGATTTCTAATTATTGCGGAGAGAAGAAACATAGCTGTGAAAATTTCTCATAGATCACGCTACGGTATCTCGTATCCATTCGGATTATTTTTCTGACACGTGAAGATACTATTAGGTTGTCTATCTTCAGGTAAAATGCGTTAAACAATGTTATTACCCAACTTATATTTTTGATTCTTAAAGGTTTCTATGCAGATTATAATCACATGAGGACCTCATAAAATGTATTTAGTAATTTGTTGTGAATAATCGAATTTTTTCAAGTTTCTTGCATCTAGTGATTTTGAGCCGAATAGCACCTAGCTCCTACCTAAATGATCTTATAATCATTGATTAACGTATTCTACTTGAAGATAGCCAACATAATGCTATATTCCTGGTTCCAAGAAATTGCCCAAGATAAAGTAAGATACCATAGCGCCATCTATGATAATTTGACATAGTAGTTTCTCTCTATATATATTGAAAATGGTCAGTGTCTCATAGCTGGTCCTGTAGTCACCGTTTCAAAGTATTTATAGTAAACACAGCTGTGACAACTTTCCATAGATGACGTTACGGTATTTCATTTTCTCCGGCGCGGGAATATAGCATTAGGTTGGCTATCTTCATTTATAATATCTTGAACCACATTTTAATACACTTTCAAGATAGGTCTAACAGTAAATTAAATTTATTTTTTATTTAGAAATGGCCGCCGAAAAGCTATACTGATGAATACAGTCATCACATGAACCCCTTATATAAACCAGGGTTGCGTAATACGATATTGTGTCACGTGACTAAAGCGTTAACTTAAATAACGGGTTCGTGTTATTTGCAAGCTATAAACTATCAATACTGCTCTTATTGGTTGTTCTCGAAATTTCAAAGTGACGTGGTCAATGTAGACTCAGGTCCCATAACAATTTATCCACCGTCAGCAAACATACGAAGGCGGTTCAATAAGTACCCGTGTTAGAAATGAAGACATATTTTATCCATTTTTTCTATTTTTCAACATAGTCCCCTTTTAGAAAGATTTACTTTTCCCAACGTGCCTTTCATTTTTTTAACCCCTACAAAAAAATAGGATTTGTCGAACTCTTCAAAACACGCCTCTGTCTTGGCGATGACTTTCTCGTTTGAGCTAAGTTGTTTTCCCGCGAGCCATTTCTTCATGTTAGGGAACAAGAAAAAGTCGCAGGGGGCCAGCACTTCATAACGCAATTCATACAGTTTGGCGGCGACAACTCCGGCTGAATGTGCTTGTGCGTTATCGTCGTGAAACAGCACCTTCTTGTTCGCCAAATGTGGCCGTGACTCCTTCAGTTTTTTGTCTAAGCGGTCCAATAACTTGGTGTAGAATGGTGAAGTGATCGTTCGTCCTTTTTCTAAAAAACCGATGAGAATGACGCCGTTTGCCTAATAAAAAGTCGTCGCTATGACTTTTCCGGCCCACGGGACCGTTTTCGCCTTCTTTGGAGCAGATTCACAGGGGGAAATACATTGTCTTGATTGTTGCTTAGTTTCTGGTGTGTAATGATGAATCTAGGTTTCATCAACGGTGACAACTCGTTGTAAAAACTCCTCCGGATCTCGCTTAAATTGTTCCAAACACTGCTTCGGCACCCATCGGGCCGACAATTTTTTCATCTCCAACTTACCATGTAAAATATTCTTTGCCGTTCCGGTCGACAGACCTACGGCCTCTGCTATCTCGCTCACTTTCATTCGTCGATCAGGGAGAATCCTGCCGTGGACTTTTTGAATTATTTCCTCGGTAACCACGTCGGCTGGCCGTCCTGGTCGCTCCTCATCAAAAATGGATGTTCGTCTACGTTTAAATTCGTTGAACCAATATCTAACTGTGGTCATAGACGGCAAAGTGTCCCCATAAACAGCATCCCACTTTGCTTTTATCTCGCATTTTTCCCATCCAAAAACAAAAAGCGAATTACCGAACGATACTGCTCTTCTTCCATCAAATCATGATACACGTGTTTCTCGAATGGCTGCCAAATCCAAACTAACCTATCAATCAGTCTGAAATTTGTTGTGCCGTCGTTTGATAGACGGCAGCACATGATGATAACACCAACTTCCCACAGGAACGCCCTCTGTCGACAAATACGGGTACTTATTGAACAAGCCTAGTATATTTCAATGTTTGTAAATACTTTTTCATAAACTGCAACTAAACTAAGTCTGTTGGGAAAATAAAAATGGATGTGATATGTTGCAAATACAATGATAGAATGGTATTTTTAACCTTTATTTTGGCATTTCTAATCTTGTCAAAATAACGTTTAGGTTCGATACTACCCGCTTGGAGCAATAAGGTACTTAAGCCACATTGACTTTGTAAATGTATGTATGTCAACCTTAAATCACGTTTCTTGCTTAATATCCATTGAAATGCTACAATACGTTTACATTTTCAGGAACAAAGATTTGGTGACAACTGAATAAAAAAAATGTAAGGCATGTTTGTAAAATTAATTCATTTCTAAAAATACTGTGGCTTGATGCCTTATATAATGTGTAAACGTTGTTTTTCCATTAGGACTGTACAAGATGGTGCGTTCTCGATTTTGAAAAGATTATGAATGCTCATGAAGACTGGGGATCACAAGCCACATAGATAAATTTATTTGGTCAAGAAGGGCATAAGTCGCTCATTACAAAATGACACTATTAATACGTATTAAAGTTTTGCGGTCCACAATATTGGTTCTCAATAAGGATAATGATATATTCTGATAAATACATAGTTTTAGATCATTATGTATTGGTATTGTGAAACTAATACCAAAAATAGATTTTCTATGTACCAAACAAGCCATATACTCGTATAATGGCAGTAAAGCAGTGGGTGGCACCCGGTGCGGAAGTTGGTGGTGTCATCCCAGTCAAAAGCAATAAATTTTATATGATTTATAAACGTCATGGATCATTTAATATTCATATTTAAAATATCGAAAAAATATCAAAACTCAATAAAAACTAAGACAGAAAAAATATTTTTACCTTACAATTAAAATATCTTCTTCCTAGCTTTGACAGTTGCAAACTCAGAAATAACTTCATCAAAATTTATGTTTTGTATTGCCTCATGTTCGATGGCTAATATACCAAGATTGCTAAGCCGCGATTGGGTCATTGTTGCCCGCAAATAATTTTTGATTAATTTTAGTTTACTGAAACTCCTTTAACTTGAAGAGACTTCGATCTTGCCTGGAGTTCAACTCTGAAAAAGTTGAGTCACGCTCACAGTTACTATCACTCAGAGGATAGTCTCATCTTAACTGAATCAAGAACCATTTTTGTTCTCTGAATTACTGAAACATCCATTGATTTTACCAACGACTAATTTCCGTTAGTCGCCCGTCTTGGAATTTAAGAGGTCATACCTTTTTCGGCGTAAAAATGTGTGGCAATCGGTGGTTGTACAATAACGTTATATAAAAAAATTGTCAAAAAAATCAACTTCGGATGCCACGGATGCTTTTGGATGGAAATGTGTTTTTTATCCAAATGCGGCTCAAGTACCTTATTGCCCTCAAGCCCTTCAACTTTCGTTTTGGCCATTTTCGAAGTTTCAAAGTGAAGTGGTCATTATATGCTCAGATCCCGTAACAATTTGTCCGTATACCGATGTTTTATAAACTGCATCTAGAACGAATATGGGTTGCAAATACAATAATAGAATAATATGGGTAATCATGACGGCATGTGACAAGTTTTTAATTTTTATATTGACATTCTAATTTTGTCAAAATAGCGTTTATGCTTAGGCCGTTATATAAAGACCCGTGTTTTTCTATGTTACCTTTTTCAAGCAATCAAAAATTAGGTCATATTGCAGATCACCTTTAACCGTTGATTAATGTGGTCTATCGGCACCCAAAAGGGGATCTGAAAGATCCTAGCGCCATATATAAGACGGTAGCAGCACACAAAAATGAATTTAGAAATCTAGTTTGAAGAGTTAACAGTGTTTGGTGCACTAACTTTTTGCAAATAAGTTTCTGAATTCATTTTTTTCTCATATATACGGCCTCGTATATGGCGCTGTTCTTTCAGACTCTAGAATGATTCAACAAAGAACGCATCTTAAAATCCTAAAATATGGATTACGATCAGATGTGACTCCTCCCATAAATGTAAGAACAGTAGAAAATAAATTATTCTATTATCTTAAATTAGCAATTTATTTTTTACAACCTTTAAAGGAATAGAAATATAAGTATGGCGTAAAGTCATTTTATTTCCCTAAGCACGTATTTTTAGTAAAAAAAATAATATGGGCATACTAGAGGCCATGTTTCTTAATTGTCTGGCCGACCAATCAACGTATGCGTTTTAATTTCTGTTTATTGCACGACGTTTTGGCCATCACATTGTACTTGAAAGTGGCGGCCACAGTAGTTGCCAAAAAATCATACAATAAATAAATTAAAACACATGTGGTCTAATTCCGCCAGTCAATGGAGTCCTATGAACACAGCCATATTTCCAGTATGTATTTTACTATCTTCAACATGGAGTTGCAGAAACATTTACCTTAAATGTGGCCTAATTTTTGTTTGTCGTAAACATCAAACTCTTCAAGCAAAATACTACAAGAATTCATCATGGCATCATGGGAATCATAACCTTGAAGATGTTCAACCAATTAATAAATTCTTCATTGTGACATTTCCACGAGACAACATAAAAGAACATATTGATATTTATTGATTCAGTTTACAAAAAAATATCGAAAATTTGCTTTTAGAATTGCATAATTCGGTAGGAGTATAAGAATTTGTTCCTCATGCTCATCGTGAGTTATCTGTCTAAACATCTAAACAGAGGGGGGTTGGTTGATTTCTCCTACTCTAGGCTAAGATCGATGTACATAGCGACTCACAATGTGTACGAGAATTATTATTCAAGAGTGCAGCTAGCCAACAGAATACAGATCTCTGTAAAATACCTAAATTGATTGTATCCATTGATATTCTTTACCTAATCGAGGAGAAAGTGGTAGGAGTGTTTTTTCACCCAGTTTTGCAAAAGTTGGGATTAAGTGGCGTTTGATAAGCTCAGCCCACCTGTGTTTGTTTTTGTGATGCTTTTTCAAACAGTAAATATGGTAGTACATCAAACTTCTTAAGTTGGGAACATGTGAATTTTGAAAAAGCAAAATATCAGGCAACGTAATCTGTACCAAATAATTCGATATAACAGTTCTCAAAAATTTGCTAAAGTTTCGTTTGTAATGATTTCAATAAATTAATTAATACCATATTGCTTTCTCAATAAATATCATCCGGATCCGTGACTATAAAAATATGTATGCACTTCCATCCTGACTGCAGACTGGTATTTTAGCGACAAATAAATCGTAGGTCTGCTCCTTCTGCCTAGCCTGAATTCGTTGCCCAAAACGACAAACAACGTATAAAAACCAAGTAAACAGATCGACTAACTGCACCATCTGCGGAGCTTGATTTTGAATTTGCATACTGCACAAACCGATTAACGCAGCTATTCTATCACACATGATTGGGTGATAAAGGGCCGTTAACGTTGACATTGTCCACAAGATATATTTTCAGGCCATACTGGATTGTAACTAGGGCTCATAGTAAAACACCTTAATTGTTTGGTGATTAAGTTTATTCTATCCAATCTCTGTTGCTAGGTACTTCAAGGTATTGCGTTCATTTACCTGCTTACCGCAGCAGTTCCGGTAACACATTCCTTTCAATATCTAACTTTTTCTAGCAAGTTTCCAATAACAACATTTATTCGTACCATACTACAAATAATTGCGCGTTTTATATTAAGAGCATCAGCAAAAGGCAAACTCAAATCGCAAGCCCGTGGAAATCGGTTGTCACACTGACAGTGACAAGCGTAAATAAGAAGTACTCATACGTTCACAAGAAAATTTTCGAGTTGACGACACAAAACTAGAGAAAGTATTGTAACGAAAACACCGTTTTCACTTTAACCAATTTATTACTCTCGCACTAATTTATTACAACAGTTGCAAATGTTTCCCGAAGCGTGGCGAATATTAATAATAGACGTCTTTATTTATCCACAATTACATTGTAGTATACCCAAATGTCAGACTTACATGGCGAAGTTTAGCATGCTGCTACTCTTACATTTAACCATATAGTCTCTAGCAGATGTTCAAAAGAATACACTATCCACAAACAGATTTGGTTCATTACATCGAAAGTAAAATTAAAAAAAAGAGAAAAAGGCATACTTTCAAACCCAAGTACACCAAAAAATTATTAATCTGTTCGCGACGTACTTAGTTTTGGTGGCCTAAGTGCCGATGTACGAGGCTGCCTCATTGGCGCTCAAAGTTCTAGTTACGAGGGCTTTACAATAAAGCCCCTCCTCAAGACCGTTTCGTCCCGAAACATGTTCCCTGGATCTTGGCGATATCGGCAGTCAAGTCCTTTGATGGAGTCTTGATGTTCTCTAGAAGTGGCTTGGCACTTTCCAGCTTCGGCATCACAAGCTTCCGGGCGTTACAGGTCATGAGGAGTTGTCGTCGGTCAGGACCATTCTATAGTGAGCAGCGCGTGAATCGCTTACCATCCGTAACTCTGCAGCACCTTCCGAACCTGTCTGCTGTTGTTCGAACCTCCAGTGGCATCCAAACTTCTGGAACAGGGAAGTTACTCCTCTTGAGGTGTTCAGGTGCTCGGCTACGCAATATAATAATATTCCTTTTATTTTCTTGGCGAGGATTCCGCTAGCAGCTGTTCTTACTCCCTAACCAGGGCACCAATTGCTTACAAACATCTTTACAATAAGATCATTAATAATTTAGAAAAAAAGTTGATTACAGTTATATAGATAGGGCGTCATTAAATATGAGGACCTTGATTTGACCTCTTTAAATCTACCAAGTGGTAGTTGCTTGAATGAATGCGGAATTTTGTTATACAATGCAGCTCCTATATAAGAAAATATTTTTTTTAAATTAGTTGTTATCGTGAACAGGAATATTTATTCTTTATTCGCTGGAAGTACTTGAATCATCGTCCGAATGGTTAATATAAATTATTACAGGTTCAATTTGAATATCGATCATATTGTCCAGATCTCACATCTTCGTTTCGATTGTCTCTTGAACGTGTCCAATGCAATATCTCCAATGGTTTGCCGTCACTCTGTTGACAGCTTCATAAAAACAAAATTCTCACGTCAGAAAATTTGAATGTTCTATTGTTTGAAGCCGCATAGTTTTTTCTATTTGCCCACACCATTTCCATGGGATTTAATTCGCAGTTATAAGGGGTTAGCCTTAAAACGGTCTTATTTTGGTTGTTAGCCATATCGTCAATAACATTAGGATTATATTTATATTTGTGCTGCCTGACTAGGTGGATCAGTCCTGCTTTGATCATATTTTCATTGAAACCAATGTCTTTTCATAGGAGCCATTGTTGAATTTCTGCCTTACTTGTGGACATTGTGGGGATTTTTTATAGTTTTCTAGTGTAGTATGCAGCATTTTCAAGTACAATGACGGCATTTTCTTCAAGCTTTGGGAGCGTTTCTTCAAAACATCGTTCAAATGAACTTCCGTCCATTTCTTTATGGTAGTCGGTGGTTTTCCTTGTCTCAAATGCCCGTAGGGCACAAAGCCATCTTCACTGCCAATGTGACAGATAACAAATCGTTTTCCTTTTCCTGAAGATAATTATACAAGCAGAGTATCTAACAGGTGTTGCTTCCAAATCTACCAGATACAGATAAGTTTAGTGCAGCTAAGTTTTCAGTGTGTGTCAGTCTACTTGACACCATTTTTACAGCACGAATGACGAATTGGTTAGATACACGTACCTGACGGATTCTTTAGGCCAGTGGTTATCTTGCTGATTTAATTGTAGAATCAGCTCATACCTTAGGTTTTGTATGTCCTGCATTTATCCAAGTTTCATCCAAATAATAAATCTTCCTATCCTGGTCCCGGTATTTCTTTATTGATTTTAAATAATTTCTTCTCCATAAAATAATCTCGTAGCTATCCATCAAAATACTATTTCTGCCCCGTTTTATATACTCAAAATGAAGTTCTTTGAGTAAACTATAGAATGTGGTCCTTTTGAAAGTAGGAAAGTCTTCATCACTATTAATCTTCTGTAATACTTTGTGTATTGTGGGAAGTTCCTGCCTTTCAAAAAATTGATGGACTTTGCGTCTGATTGCATTCCGATCAAAGTTATCAACTGTATCCAAGAGCTTCGTGTAATGCACCCTCTTGTGTGGTGGAGACAATTTTTTTTATATCTTTTAACAATGTTGTAAATTGTCTTAGGACATAAGCTTGTTTTGTTCGCCACACGTATTTAAATATCATGAATTTTTATTTTAGGATGCTAAAAAATTTGGCTCTTACAAACGTTAAGCATAATTTCTTTTGCCAGAATATTCAGATGTCCCTTCATGCCACCTTTTCGAGGAGGAGACATCACAAAACAATCTGTCATTAAACATCAATAAATGTTACGTAATGTCTTACACTTTGAAGAAAAATCCTATGTTATTTGACTATACCCTGTCAGGTAGCTCTATTCAGAGGACTTCAACTTTATGTGACTTAGGCGTGACATTTGACTCCCAACAACATTCGTCAAACACATTGACAGCAAAATTTCCGAGGCAAACCGCATGTACGGCTTTATTGTAAGAAACTGCCGTGACTTCGCTCAGAGTACCACCTTGAAGTTGCTGTATTATGCATATGTTAGGTCGGAGCTTGAGTATGCATTGCTAATTTGGAATCCGCATCATATTATTCATATAAGTAGGCTTGAATGTGTTCAAAGACGTTTCTTAAAATATTTGTCACTGAAAGTGGATGGCGTTTACCCGCCCATAGGTATACCTCATGATTCCTTACTTTAAAAACATCTAATCAGCAGTATTGAAGCAACGCGTACTTGCTAGTCAGTGACTTTTCTGTTTAAATTGATCAGTAATGCTAGTGATGATTTAGCTTTCTTGGGTCAGTTATCATTTAATGTACCTAGGCTGACATCCCGACAAAACGTTACGTTTTATCTACCTGCGGCACGGACAAATTATTTACACTATTCCCCTTTACATGTGATGTGTAGGAATTACAATTCTGCAAGGAACGGGATTGATATATTTAACTGCAGAATTGCAGACATAAAAAATGCCATTAAGTAACCAGCATGTATCTTTTACACTTTCTAGTCTATTACGTATTATTGTCTTTCATATCTGTGTTATGTTCCGTGTTTCCTCACCCTGTAATTGGTATTTACTGTAGGGTGTTGTAATGAATAAAATAAAATAAAATCACTGAAGAGGAAGCATGGCTGAAGGAAGCATTGGAAGAAATATTCTCACTTTCAACTGCTGTATCCGTAGACGACATGCACACACGCTATGTATGAACCGAATATGAACAGCAACTGCCGGCGATATCCCGAGCCTGAGTTATACCCTGTCGAATCCACTTGTTCCTAGTTTCAGGGCTAGTGCAACGCTTAGGCAGCTGCCACTTTGCTGCGCCGCATCTTCGTTGAGCTGGGGCGTAAATGGACTACTAATATGTTATAGGTGCTGATTTGTATTTTCTACTTGACATCGTAAAATAAATTTCTATAAAATTCAAATGAAATAAAAATGAATGTGAAATGTAATAACTACGTTTTATAAATATTCCTGTACGTACCATATTAACTCACCTGTTAGTTTTAATATACTTCACCAACCAGGGATTTTCTTTTTTTATCGCTGTTTTTTGAAATCCAGCAAAACTGCATGTATTATTTCCAGGTTGAATAAAAGCGGATGCGCAACTAAGTTTTAGCTTTGCATACATCTCAAGTAAGTGTAAGTGTCAACCAATGGAATTATCATCAACACGATTATTAGCACACAAATCCTCGCTATGCACTGCCGTTTTCTTCCAGCTATAGTATACAACTTATAGCTTAGACCTCCAATAATTCAGCTACGGAACGTGTACACAACAACTGTACAACAGTGCCACTTTTCAAGATACGTAATACCCCTGTCGATACGCCTTAAGGAACACGGGGAAAACCTACATAATGTCAAAAAAAACCGGCAATGTAACTTTTTAAATTATGTAATACCCCTGCTGGTTAGAGTGCAGCTCTAGTGGCACAAATCAGCTGATAATGTCGTCGACCAGAACGGCTGCACTTACTGAAATAGTACATACATAGCAACTAGGATGTATTTGTTCCCAGTCTCCGATTACGGAAACGATCTCGAGATGTCGATGGCTATCCTCTCCAATGGTTTGCTCATGTTGGCTTTGGGCTGCCGCAGCGGTCCATTGCTCGCAGAACACGTTATGTATTTCTAGCACTACTGCCTGACGTCTTTCGACCAGCTCGTCCAATATAACTGCTCTCTCGAACCATTCCAAGGGTCTTCTTGACGCCCATGTGTACACATTACCTTCTATCGTGGAATTAACGGATATCCTCGGTCATCCGGTTCTTGACACCACCAGTTGCAGCCTCCGCTGATACTCATTATCGTTCTCCAGGGCTTGTTTCAGGAGGCCGTCTTCTAGCATCAGAGATCCACTGGGCCCAGTATGACTTGACCACTTTTGACAGTGGAGCGATTTCCTCCCAGGATGGCCAACGGTCCTCTTCCTTCCACTGCTTCATCCGTTTGATGTTAGAATCGCGCTCCTGGTCTTAACGGATATTGTCAAGCAACCAAGAATCATCCACTACCGTCGTCTTGCAGATGTTTGCTGTCCTCTCCTGGAGCCTACTGCAGTGAGCACACCGGCAAGGCGTCGGTGTTGCGATAACTCATTCCAGCATGATGCTCGATCTCAAAATCATACTCGGCGAGTCGCCCGATCTATCAAGCCACTTGTCTTCCGGGAACCTTAAACTGCAGCAGCCATTCATGGTCCATCCGGGTCAGAAATTTTCGCACGTATTTGTAATAGTGCTCCACTGCCTTGACCACAGACAACAACTCTCGTCTAGTAACGCAATAGTTTCGTTGTTTTCGATAGGGTTTTGCTGAAATACCCGGTGACACGCTCCTGGCCGTCTTTGACTTTTGGCAGCACTGCATCAGTATCGATGTCGCTTACGTTTATATCTAGAACGAACTTCCCTTCTCGATTTGGATATCCTAAGATCAAGGCGCTGACCAAATGATGTATCAGTTGTTCAAAGGCGCGTTGGCAGTTTTCATCACAGATGAGTTGCCTCGGTGAGGTGGGTGAATGATATTGCAGTATTTGCGAAGGTAGGAACAAACCGTCTGTAGCACGTACATAATCCAATAAAACCTATCAACTGCAACTTGTCTGCAGGAATCGACCACTTCTTGATCGCGCGCACTTTCTCCGGATCAACCGCAGCCCCATCTAGGCTGACTACGTGACCCGAGCAGTTCACCTTCTCCCGGAACAGAGTGCACGTCTTCGGCTTCAATTTCAAGTTTGCATCTCGGAGCCTCCAGAACACCTCTTCTAAATTCTTCGGCTGCTTGTCGAACGTCTTGACTACCACGATGATGTCGTCCAGGTACACGAGGCATGTTTCCCAGGTCAGCCCCGACAGTACCATTGTCATCAGCCTCTCGGACGTAGCAGGTGCGTTGTACAACCAGAAAAGCATTACGATGAACTGCCAGAGTCTATGTCAAATTATAAAGGCAGTATTCTCTCGGTCGGCCAGGTCCATCTATACTTGCCAGCGCATCCAACGTGTGATCGATGCTTGACAACGGATGGCTGTCCTTGATGGTCTTCAAATGACGATAGTCAACGCAGAAATGGGTACTCCCATCTTTTTTTTTCCACCAGCACCAGGGGTGACGCTCACAGGCCTCTAGATGGCGTTACCACACATTGCTTCATCTGCTCGACTATCTTAAAAGATATCTCTTGCTTAACCTCTAGGAGTCTTCTGGCTTTTCATCAGCTGTGTCGATATTGCGCTTCGTCCGCCCTAAGTTGGAGCCTTCACATTCGAAGATGTTTCGCCAACGGTTGATTAGCTATTGCACCTTTGCAGCTTGACCTGGGGAAACGTCTGCACTGCTAGACACTCCAACAGGATGTAGAAGGTTCAATCTGCGACTTGTATACCTGCTTCAGATGGTCATGTCTCCACCGCATTTCCAAGCGCTTGACTAGCTGCTTGTAGTTGTCCATGTCCTTCACTGCTGCTTCTGTCTGGAGAAATATCCAGAGCATCTCTGAGGGCTGCAGTCAATGCGGCGGCCTAAGCCTTGCTGAACCAACCATTGACTCGAACTGCTTCAAATAGTCCGGCCAGGACGTCTTATTATAGAATGTTTGAGGTTTCAGCTTGGCTGCACCAGGTAGAGGTTCTACCTGCTTCACGGGAGGCTCCACAAACTGGTGTTCGGCACCTAATATCCCAGAATCTGGAGGTTAAACCAAAGGCGCTCACACCACAATCTCAGGAGAAAAGTGACTGACACGAAACACCTAACTTTATAAAGAAAGGTTCAATGAGTGGCTTTAAAGAAGATATGTTCGATAGAAAACCTTGTAACGGAGAAAAACGACAGTTTTTTCCAACACAATACTGAATCACTGAGAAAGAAAGATATAATACGTGTGAAATTATACAATCAATAAACTATGAAATTTACCAAAAGAAACTCATTGAAAAGGAATGCTCACTCTACCATTAATAACGAGAAATTCAAGTTACTAGGAAGTTATCAAAAAGTAAAAAAAGGTGACGTGATTTCAGCACGTGGCAAGCTTCTCCGCCGAATGGGAACTGGTTCTGCTCATTTAGCATCTTTGGCAGCGCCTGATTCTCCTCCTTCAGCATCTGCGACAGGGTTGGTTCTCCTTCCTCACCATCTGCGACAGGGTCTGATTGTCCTCTCTCAGCATCTGTGACACGGCCTGCTTCTCTCGGGAGGGTGCGGCTGGTGTCATCCAGTTTCTGAGAAAGGGCCTGGTTCTCATCACTCAGGCCAGATAGGAGAAGACGGCGACGTGAACGTCGAATACGAAGATCTCTGGATCTTCCCCACGACTTTCTAAGTAGTCTCGAAGATGGGTCACCAGCGTCGCCTTCGATCCCGTCGTTTCGAGCTCTTCCTCATATAGCTCCCTTCTCACGTTCACCACCTTCAGATCACACAGCTTTTTCGCAGGAATTGTCTCTCACATGCACACACGGTGAAACAGTCACAGTCACTCCGGATACATGCACAGTTCAGTATTTGAAATAAGTTACAGTTACTCCCACACCCGCAAGGTTCAGTCTCTAAAACGGTTGAAGTCACTTCCGACACACTCACAGTTCTGTCTCTACAAACGGTTAAAGTAATTCCCGATGCGCGCACGTACCTTCACTAATCTCACTCGTGATACCAGTGTTACTATTTAAAGTCTAATATATACTCATACTAGTTTGTTATAACATTTGCGACTAAATTATTACAAATGTATGACTATGTCGACTGGACTATCGCGCTGATGCTGATTATCGTCGACTCCGCCCGCAGGCTTATTACGTAAAAATTTCCAACTCTGATCGGTGAGCAACCGATCACCAACCGACTTGCGACCGATTGTCGACCGACTGAAAAATTCGTATTCGCTAACGCAGTTGGCAACCGGTTGCCCAACTGTCATTGAATGCAGTTTTTGCGACCGAAACAGCGCCACTGGCAATCGAGTAGCAACTGGTGGAACTAAAGTGACATACATATGATGATAAACAATCGTTGTTCGTTGTGTTTATAAATCGAAAAATAAATAAATACATTGTGGGTCGTGATTGTGAATTTAAAATTAACTATGGGACCTAGTTTTGTTGAAAATTCAACGCGTAAGTATATAATACGATGGTCTGTTCTTAAAAATGAATGTCTGTGTGAGCCGCAGATGTATGGATGTTTACATAAGTCAAGAGTGGACCCTTGATATATACACACAGTCATTTGTCGACAAATAGATGACACAGTTTCACATAGATTAGCCTTGAAGACTTATCTCAAGACAGAAAGAGCGCTGCAAGATAACGCGAGGGTGAAAACAGCTTATTGACAAGTGAGAGATGTTTCTCTAAATCAATCAGCACTTGCTGGCACTTACCTATATAGTTCATCTAGCAGTCATCTAGACTGCTTGTTCAGTAAAGGCTGCAAATGCATCAGAAAACGTGAACATAGTGTTTGTTTGTCTTTGAGATTTTGTCTGACTAGGAGGTGTTTGTGTTAATTTTCAAAATGAAACATAATCTCAACACTGCAGAAATTAATCCTAATTTAGCTAAGGACAGTGTTGGGCTTGGAGGGAGATCAAAGGAGACAATTAATAGAAAGTGGGACGAATTAGCGATATGTCTGAATACTCATGGATCTGGAGCTACAAAAAATGGACAATGCTGGAGAAGGGTGAGTTTATGTTACATTTCGTTATTCATCCTTTTTTCATCGCTAATTCATAATTTTTATAATTGTGCTGAATCTTATTTTTCATTATAAGATTACAACCTTTTGCTATGGTCATTATTCTGTTGTATCCCTCTTTTCATTAGATAAATTTCACATCTGTGGCAAATGGATAACTTCCAATGCCAAATCGATCGACAAAAAAAAAAATTAGATAAATTCAAAAAAGTTGTAGAACTTATCATAGTAGAAAAAATGCAATGTTGATTAATAGAAAATTATATTTAACAGTGTAATAGCACAATTGTTCCCAAAGACTACCTTTTCACAATATTTTATCCAACACTTTTTTTTATTTAAGTAACTTGAGAATCGATGACGTTTATCCATTTTTTCAGTAATTCAATTCTTATTAGACGAGACTTTATATGAAACTCTTTTGTCCTCTACTCGTAGAAAATAGTTTGTTTGATTCAATGTGTTTGTATAGTTACTACCATCTTTTAATATTTGCCAACATAGTTTACTCAGATTCCATGGGTCATTTTCTTGGATTAGTACTGTAGGTTATAATAAGGCATTTTGTTCGATATGGTTTTATTCATGTACTAATACAATAATACTTTTTTACAGTATTGGATAGACCTTAAACATAGGATACAATCTAGAGCTGCACAATATAGGCAGGATGCTACAGGTACTGGTGGAGGGTGCTAATGTTGATAACTTATCTGAATTAGATATGGCCATATTGGGAACAGCAGCAGTATTTGGAGATACTGAATTGGGAACAGCAGCAGTATTTGGAGATACTGAACTTAAAGTTCCATTTAGTGTAAGTACATAACTCCTGGATAAATTTAAATGGGATTAATTTTAGTTAATGAAAAATCAGTTTATTTTCTCTATCTCTATTGCCCACTTCGTTAAACCACATTTAATTTGATTTTACTTCCTGGCAGTCCACATCGTCTCCTAACGCTTGATCACAAGTACAAAGTTCTGCTTCAAATGGAAAAAATACAAATTATTTTAATTTTTCACTAGTGATGATCTTGTTTTAGAATGAAAAATTGCATATGAATTCAGTTTCTACTTGGTATTGCTTCATAACTTCAGATATTAATTAAAAGCTTTTTGAATTTCAGAACCAACTCCTTCATCTTCAGCTGTTGAGCCACCACCAGATATAGAATTCCAAATAGCTAGGCAGGGTGCACGAAAGTTGTATGCAGGTAGAGACAGCATTAATGCAACTTCAAAAATTTCACAAGAAATTTGGTCAAGCATCTAAAAACTTCAAACCTGATTGAAATTTAGAAAGGATAAAGTATTTTTATGATTATTGTTTTCTTGTGTGACCTAATCTTTGTCATTTTAATAAAAGATAATTACACAAATCAATTTACTATATTATTCCTATCGCTGTTGTGTAACAGTGCCCTATTTTTTTGTATTAAAACTACTCTTAAATCATTTCATAAAAATCACTGACTTATTTTTTGTAATGGCACCTCCAATCCATAAATCATTTATAACTCTTTAATACAGTAAAAAGTTTGTCTCTCAACATATTTTTAAGACAATAAGATTTTTTTATTGTATTTAAAATAATTGCTTTACAAATTGACGAAAATAAAATAGGAGTGTCATTAAAAAAATTGTATTTGTAGAAATGCATTTGATACATTTTCTAAAGAGAATTGGTCCCCATTAGAAATACATTTAGCGATTAGTACTAATCTTCACAAGCGGCGAAGTTCTAGGCTGTTTGAGTGATTGTGGAACACAGAGTTTTTTTTGAAATTTTTACGATTGTATTTAGTACCATTAATGCTTAAATTGATAAAAAAGTTGTGGGTTCTATTACAAAAATAAGGTCAGCAGTTTTATAACTGTATTTTAAAAAGGCTTTTTGTTACAAATGCATTTTACAACTTTTCTTGATCTTCACTCAAAGCATACTTTTAGGTGTGTTCCAAATCCTCTAAAATAGATATTATTGAATATAGACATGTGAAAATAAACCTTCCTAGAAAACTAATTCTATAACCATTAACATTTCTTTACAGTGGTTAATAAAACCTTTTTGAAGCAGAGCTATCATTAAGCATAAGCGTATGACAATGAACATTATTTCGTGGAAATTTAAAATGTTTGATACAGTAGATAATACAAACTTTAATACTCCTGTGCATCACTCTATGATATTTCTGGAAAGACCGATTCTTAATGGATGTCCAGAGTCACCTGTAAAAATATATCTTTCATTATTACTCATCTTCAAGCAGGCATATATAACAATAATTACAACTAAAGTAAAAAAAAATCAAAGTAAATATTAGTGCTGAAATCGGTATGTTGCCTAAAATATGTGAAATATTAAGACTCGGATTTGTTGCTGTATTGTTAATCTTCAGCTAATCAGTCTGAGGTATTGATCTTAGGATCGATGAATATTGACTTATTACTCTTGTTAATAGGAAATTTCAACTTCCACAGCGATGGAATTTTCATCAGGTAATGTAAACTTCCATGTCTTGGAACTGTTTGATGTAGCTGAACTCATTGGTTTCTCAGTTAATGATCCACCATTTAATTTTGATATGCAATCTCACTTGCTTAATATGCATGTTAATATAATTACTATAATCTCTAACAGTGTTTGAGGGAAGTAAATATGCTTAGAATGCCTGGATGATTTAATGCATCCACCATTTCCCTTAGTGCTTTGGATACACTAGGTTGACTGAGCCCATGTAAATAAGCCATGCCAATATGTTTCTGGCAGGAACCAGCGGCTAGCACCAGAAGTGCTGCTAATACCTAAAACCAATATGTTTCTATACTGTGGTAGAAAGGTGCAAGTAAGCTTATTTGATAATCATTATGAACTTCAAGTCATAGATACTGAAAAATACGTCGTAGGCGAGAAGTTTGCCGTCTTTGATCGTGCATTCTTTCGCTTTTCAATGCTTCCATAAGTAAAAATACACGAGCCATCCAGAGAATCAAAATTGCTGAAAATACAAATTGGGAGCATACAATCACTTCTTACACTCGTTAAGCTATTTAATTCCTTATTTGAACTTGTTATACTTACCTTTCTTGTTAAAAAAATGAATAGTTTTGACAATGTTATCCAAACAAAACACTACCAACCGACTAGTCGACTACCACAGAGCAGTTGTTAATTTGACAGTTCAAATCGCAAGTAAGTTGCTGTTCGGTCGCTGTCAATGAGCTAGGGAATACCGATTTTTTTATAGTCCTAACAAAAGAATGCACTTTTCGTTCACCAGTTGCTCCATAGAGGCGCCACCGTAGCCGGTCGGCGATTGAGACGCACTGACTGATACATAATACGAAATTTGCGTTTGACAGCAACTATCGACCAACTCGAGTCGGTTGACGGTCGGTTGGAAGTTAGGTAATAAGCCTGCCGCTTCTGCTTTCTCTGACAAGTCCAAATGCACTCTCGCGTTTTCTAGGCCTTCATCAACGCTAGCTAGATGGCGGTCTATGTTTCTCGCGTGGCGAACGTTCGCGACGTATTTTTGGTTGCCTAAGCGCCGATGTACGAGGGTGCCTCATTGGTACTCAAAGTTCTAGTTACAGTATGTCTGTAAGCATACACGGACATCCGCGCACATAGGCAGATTGAAAAATCGGTCGAGCCACTACATTTAGAGAAAAATAGGATACCTGAAAAATGAAGTGAGGCGATGTCGATCCCTTTGGAGCGACCGTGTATGTAATGATTCTGTTGTGGTCGTACAAAACCGCAGTTTTGTATGGACATTGAACGCTTAAAAGTGATTAGGTAGACATTTATTGTTTCCAAAAAATTCACAAGTATGATTTTAAAAACAATTGTAAAAATAAAAATGGAGATCTGTTTCCACACTATATTACAGAAACTTAGGTTAAAATAAAATCTGCTACCGCTTACGCTCTACCTTTACAGTCTTGCGCTTTTCTTTCTTCTCTTCTTTCAACTGCTTTTGTTTTTCTCTGGAACAGATTTAACATGATTATATCTGTTATTCCAACTAAGGGAGGGGGGAGGGGCAGGTTATAAAAGAGAAAGCCAACCAATTTTTTTACGACATTTTGCCATGTCTCAACAGTTTTGCCAATATTATGTTTTACACTCTGCCGCAAATTAAAAATTGAAAAACGCGGCATAGGGTAATAAGTGTTACCACTATTTATTAGATTATTATCCAACTTATCAATGGGTTGGAAAATTTTGCCAACTCAACTTGTTGCAATTTTCTCAACAATGCTCGTGTTTTAAAAAAATTCGAATTCATTTACGGTAGCATCCGTAGCCAGACTATTCTATTCAAGTATATGGACGCTCCCTGATCTGGCGTCGTTTGCCAATTTGTAAACGTAGCCACACTATCACCAAGACATGTGGCATCCGGCGATCCGTGTTTGAAACTCTCGAGTTTGTCATCGATAGAAGAGAATACGATGGAATGGATGTGTAATAGCTAAAAGCTACAATATTACATTAAGACGAACATAACAAAAATAACATATCACTTGGATCTCCTAAAATATAAGTCCCTAACAAAAAGAGATTTTACAAATGCCTCAGTTTTTAATTTAAGCTGTAGGTTATGTAGCAATCCTTTTACAACTATTTGGATTCGGTTTAAATAGCTGGGGCAGGTTTTATCACGTACTTCATGGTCATATCAAGTATTTGGAACCTTTAGTACTCTGTAGGTATATTTACAATTATTGCAGGTATAGTTTTTAGCCTTGCATGCTTCCTTCATGTGATTTTGACTGCATTGTGGAGATACTACAACAGAATTACACTTCTCAGCCCAGTGTCCAAATTGCTAACATTTGTAACATTGTAGAACAAACACTAATAAATTTGTAAAATTTATGACTATTCCATCCTAAATATATCTCACTATTTATTTTTATTTTTATTTTCAGATTAACTGCACCACCAGTTTTAATCTCATAATCTTCTCCTAATGTTAGTTCCACTTTATTGTTCAATTTTGCTAATGATTTTTCGTAAATGTCTAAGCATCCTTGTTTTGCGTGTATTATTTTATTATCAGATATTACTATGTCTGCAGGATTTAATTTTTGCTTTAAAACATTTTTTTGTTTCAGTGCTACTTTTGTTCTTGTCTTTTGATTTAAATACCAATGGTTCAACTATATATTTTCTTACACCTCCATTAGTTCTATTAATTTTGAGGATTACTCTGATTGATCAGCTTTCTTTTCTGTGGCATCTAAATTTTTCTCGATTTTATTTTGACTTTTCATAATCGTTTCTTTTTCCTTGAAGTTTTGAATAATAATGTCACGATTTTCTTTTAGTCTGGAGTATTCATTTTCTAGTCGTTCTATGATTTTTCTTTTCCAGCTGGTAAAATATTCTTTTCAATTATCATTTTTAGATCTTCAATTTCTCTTTGTAATTTGGCAATTGCATCTTCATTATTTACACAATCCTTCCAGCAACTTCATCTCCATCTTTATTTTTGCCTTTTTTCCTAGTGGTACTCATCTTGTCACACTTCATTAATATTCATCTGTATTCTTCTCTCTTTTGAAAAAGATTCCGCTTCGGAAGAGATGGAGGGAAAGTTTCTTCTTTTTTTTTCTCCATTACTTCTAGCCGTAGATAAATTAGCGTAGTTGCAATATGAAACGACAAAAATGAGGTGATCACACTGTCACTGCCACATGACAAACAATCAATGCGGCTTGGTAACTCTATCAGACGACCTCTGATTCCAGAAGGAGCCATAGCAGCATCACTGAAGACGTCGCCATGGCCTCTCGGATAGGTAGGGCTCGTCACCTTTCCGAAAGTCTGAAGTTAGCAACATCAGGAATACAAGAAATTAATTCAAAGATGTTTGTTTATCGGGCTGTTTTTTATCAGACCATGCCTTTTGAATGGTGAATGTCATTATTAATTACCGGGAAGATGAATATTAACAAATTAATTCCTGTAAGGGCAACAGGTTGTTTGGTGAATTTGGACCTTCAACATATACCATACCAACAAGTATCAGAGACGTACCTCATATTGCTTTATACTTACTAATCAAGCCGACACTTTTGTGTGACTTAGTTTGCATAAAATAATTAGGAAAATTCTGGCATACAATCAGAGCGAACTAACTGATATAGCCACTAATGATCATGACTAAGTCACCTAAGAGTGAAATTTAAATCAATATTTGGTGGAATACCCGAGAAATTACTCAACGCTACTGAATCACATCAAATACAGTGTCAATACACACAACAGCACAATAATAGACGTCAGAATGTGTTGAAGAATTATGGTAAATAGCACTGTGCAATTATACTACTCGAATGTAGCTGAACCTTCAAATAAAAATACTGATATTATGAAAATAACACTTCACCTATCTTCTTTGTCTTTTTCTTTCTTCTTTTGACTGTCAATTCTTGCTTGTTCTCTTTTATTTTTTTCTGCTTGTGCGACAGCTTGTGCATTCATGTTCTTCTCCAAACCATCTCCTTTACTTCCCCCCGTGCTATTTGCATCTGTATCATCTTCCTCATCGTCACTCATTTGGCTGTATTGAGACAAGATAGCTTCGCGGATCTTCTTTTCGTCCTCTGTGTATTCTTTTGTTTGGTTATGGCCAGGGATTGAGATTCCATCAGTTTGGCAAGCTTCTCTTCCATTTCTTCACTGGACATTTGATGAATATCTGTTTCTTTTGGTTTACAGGAGTGCCAATTTTCTAGTATTTCATTGCAGAGCTGTGTGATTTCATCCTCCTGCAATACAATGTATATGGTGTTTGTGAGTGTCCATCAAAAAGAATAACTATTGCCTAGGTGACACACCACTCATAATCCAGGGTAATATCAACTGGTTAAACGGGCTGGTGAGATCAGAATTTCAGAGCCTGTCTGAAGTATACACTTTGGAACCATGCAAAATGAGCATACCCAATGAAGGTGCACCAAGTACCTGATTTGAATCTGGTAATTACTCAGCCTCAATGCAACCACACATAATTTGAGTAAATCAATGAGCTGCAGATACAAGATCTAAATTTATGTGCCTTTCTCAGACGTTCTCAATACTCAGTTTTTGTTTTCTATTGAATGAAAGGCCAGACAGGAAAATCTAATATGCTGTTGCATTTATGGTATGTGCATGGAAATTTATGTTTTGTACGTACAGTGTGTAACAACTAATTTTTTCATAAATTCTGGAATATCAGCTTTAGCAGCATTGCAACTTCATAGTATCACTCATTTTTATGCAAATTTATAATCAAAAGACACCATACACCACAAAACAATACTCCACAAGTACACACAATACATCTGAATTTCATTTAGTAATAACTTAATGGGTTTTAACAGGTTTAAATTCTATGTTTGTTGAGATCGAAATATTTGTCATTCTGAATCCTAAATATGGAGTAATCCATTTAAGAAATATGCCTAATATGACACTCAATTACCAGTGTTGTAAGCATATGAGTATACCAACATCAAAATAATAATTAAGATATTCTGGGTTGTTTTGAATCTGGGATATTGGAAATGGTACGACTTACAAAGCCAATTAAATGAGGACAACGTTTTGCATTCAGGTAATTGAGAAAATTACTCTTAGTTAGTTTCACAATTCCCAGTATTTCTGGACAGTTAAAAGAAACCGAATTTTCCCAAAAACGTTATTCATTTTTCTGATTTTATTTGACATCGGATTTCAAAAAGTAAATTAACATTGTCACTTTTTCTCCTCTGTAAGATGGCATGATTTGAATTTATGACATATATCATCTCTTGTCCTCAATCATCAACTTTATTTTTTTCATAACCAGGTATAGATACACAGTACCTATTTCCAATTTTAATGATGTGCTATTGTACATAAAATATATAACATATTGATATTATCAAATTGCCAATGTTGAGAGAAGTAAGGACATATTGAAATTCTAATTATGCCATCTTGTAGAGGAGAGAAAGTGGAAAAGTTGATGTACATTTATTTTGATATCTCAAAAGTAAGGGAAAAATAAAAAACTTTTTGGGGAAATTTGGTTTCTTAGTTATTTAAATGCGCAAATTTACGCCCATTTAACTGACTGTGTATCTCTTACCGTTACTGAGATCATAATGATGTGAGTTGAAGTTGAAACACCCAGTATTCCCCCTCCAACTACATTCTTGCACCCCCAAAAAATTGTTCAATAATGTGCTAAGACTTTGGAAAACACTGGAAAAGCAAGTTTGAACAACAGTTTTCCTTTTTATTTCCCACAGTACTGGTGAGGAAGCATTGAAGTTGTGAAACATTTTTAAAATGACATATCTTTTTGATGTTATGTGACACATACATGACAAAAAGCTATGTCACTCATTTCCTTAGATCTGTCTGTTTGATAATCCTTGACCCATCTATAACTTGGAATGTTCTATTAATCATGTCTAGTTTCTGGGTGACCAGCCAGCAAAATAACAAACTGACTGATGTACTGTGACACAAAGGCAAAGGTCCTACAGATCACCTAGACAGACAAGAACAAATAGGTAACTTGGAAAGTATTGTGCAGATTCTGACACAAGGTTGTTGAACAGGTGGTTTATGTCAACCTGATTGTTAGTGAAACATGCAGCTTTCAGTTAACCCAGATAAAAATCTTTGTAATGATAAAATGCTGCATCACATAAAGGTGGAAAATAAATTTAATAACAGCATATTAAGGAAAATCCTCATAAAATTGGAACCTCATGTGTAGCAATTTTTGGATCACAAATTTTAAATCATTGAACATTTAGTGTGTTATCATTTCATTTTGAGAGAAGCGATCTGCTTCATTGCTGTTCGATTTTTTGTACTGACAATTTGTGAATTGTTGCAATGAATTACTTATAATTGTTGTATACAATTCTATTAATTAAATGAATTTAGAGTTTAATGCAGTACTACAAGGTGAACTGTACTACTATAATATCTCAGGCATAAGTGCATCAGCTCTGAATAATTCTGTTTCTGTAATCTAAGCCAAGCAATAGGGCTTCATCTGGGATTTTATTGTTATAAAATTGTTATGCCCAAACACTATTTTTAGACGTGTGAAATGTGAAAGAAACAACAGATAATTAGGCAAGGCTAATATACTCGTATTGAAAACTCACGTTTTCGACAATTTCTGATAGTATTCCTTGGAGAGCCTCAGATTTTTCTTTGGCTGTTTCATCGCTATCCAAAATCCCCATTATGTAGGATCCAAAAATATCTTCGTCTGTTTTTAATTCTTGCAATTTTCCGCTTAGCCAGGTGGGAAAATCTTCCAGTGCCGTGGCCATTTTCCACTATAATCAGAAAGTAACTTAAGTATATCCAGCTTATTTTTAATTTTTTTAGGTCCGATAGATGTGAAAATAGTGAGGTTATTCCCGGTAATACTAGAGTTGACAGACAGTTGATATTCATTTTGACATTTCAGCATGTCTTTCAGGTTTCAGCATTCCCAGAAGCTGTGATTCTGTAGTTACACCAGAACTAAAATTCCAGGCGGGTCTTATCTCAGAACGAGCACAATTTTTTTCTGGAGAGTATCTACGTAGACATGAAGACTGAAACCGCGCTAAAACTTTGAACGCTCAAAAAATGAGAATTTTAGCATTTTGGCATCTTTTCTTTCTGGCTGGAAGTACTATTGTCCAAAGAATTAAAAAATTACCCCCGAATTACAACCTGATAATTCAGTCGACAGATGTTTCGGCCAAAAGCTAATTTCTTAGAAGCGTTCTGTTGGATTGCCAAATCGATGGCCCGAAACTAAAATTCCACAAAATCAACTTTTTCGTTGAAGGAATCCTATCCCCTATATGGGTCGGTCTCAATTTTTTTGAGAAGTAGCTATGGAGGCATGAGACTTTGCAAAATCTCCTATTCCTAGGTCGAACGGTTCGGTTTGAAAATGCCGTCAAGTTTGCACGTTCTGAAATATATAATAATAATTTTAATGTTTTGTCAACGTTTCATTTTTAGACAACTAGACTCACTAGAAAGCATTGAGTCCCATCATTAATAGCTATTCCGAAGTAAGGTGGTCCAACGAATTGAAAAATGATCTGCAAATTACAATCTGATAATTACTTCTCGGCAGATGTTCCAAACAAAACTGATTTCTTCTTCTTTCACTGTTTTAAAGATTGAATTGAAATGAATTTTGTACTCATCCCTTTAAATTGGTCGACTGGGCCTTTAAATCAAATTTTCCATATTTTGAACTTGAATTAGCCATGTTCATGATAGTGAAGGGCAAATCATGTCTCAGATCGCGCTTAATTTTTTTCTGGACAATACATATATATCTACATGGTGTGGCAAAAGTACCGGACATCTCGATAAGTCCTTAGGAATACAATTAAGGAAGAAATGCTTCCAATAAAAGTTGCAGGATTTTTCCTCAGCTATCGGTCCCTGGAATCGTCCTTGAAGGTTATTTGAAGGTTAACTTTAAAATTTAAAATGTAAACCCATATTATTGCTTCTGGTAGAGAAACGAACTGAAAATTTTACGTTTAAACATGACTCAAATGACCCTCATATTAGACCTTGAGTAATCCCTCAAGGTCAAACTACCACTTTTGCTGGATATTGACAACTCTTCGGGAATGCATTTTAGGGGAAAATGCTTCAATTAAAAGTTGTAGGATTTTCTCATCTGCTATCAGAATGTTAGATTGGATTCGATTTTGTTATCGACCATGACATGAAGGCCATTTGAGGCTAACTTCAAAATTTCGAATGTTAACCCCGGCAATGACACGAGCATAAACATTTACGTTCAGATATGACCTTAACTGACCGTCATATTTGACCTTAATTGACCTCCAGGGCAACCAAGGCAAGGATGGATGATAGTCCCAACCAAAGGGCCTCAGCCATATAGTATTAGTTTGGGTCAAGGTGAAACTACCACTATATGGCCGGGGCCTTTAAACTTGCCTTAATTTCCCGGTGACCATTTGAGGTCCTATATGAGGATCATTCAAGGTCATATTTGAACGTAAAATTTCGTTTCAATGAAATTTTGGAAGTTGATTTTCAAATGACTTAAGTAGACAAGGTTAAGATCAAATCCAAGGTCACCTTCTTATAGCTAATGAAAAATCCTACAACTTTTAAATGTAAGCATTTTCCCCAAAAAGAATTCCCGAAGAGTTATCAATGTCCAGCGTTAGTGGTGCCTTGAGCTTGAGGGATCACTTGAGGTCAATATGGAAGTCAAACTGCTGTCTTGATTCGGGTCTAAATGCCGTCGTCGGTTGGAATTTCTTCCTAACGTTCCGCTGGTACGAGTGGAAAGCTTCTTCAGAGGTTCTTCCATTTCCGATGCTGGATGTAGACAGTCTACATCGAATCAAGAGAGCACTTTATCAACTGGCCGCGAAAGCCTTAACCAATTTGTCAATATGGAGGACATTCAAGGTCATGTTTGAGCGTATAATTTTTCGCACGTTTCATTACCGGAATCAAGAGTAGGGGCTTACATTTGTGATTTTAAAGCTTACCTTCAAATAACCTTCAAGGTCGAAACCAAAGTCACCGACCGATAGTTGAATGAAAATCCTGCAACTTTTATTGAAGCATTTCCCCCTAACAAGTATTCCCAAAGAGTTATCTCAAGCCGTCCGATACTCTTGCCACACCCTGTACAGGCACATAAAGACTATGAAATTTCAGATTCCTGGAGGTCGAACAAATTCAGATTGGAGACGTATTAAAAAATGTCCCTCAAGCTGTGATTCAAGAATGTGCTCATCTAATATTTCAGTCAAAAGTATATTTGTTTCTTCTACCTATAAAGGCAAATAAAGCAATCTTTGGTTTTCAATACATTTATTTATTTAGACAACTGTACAGTATGTATAAACAAATTTTGCGATTCAAGTTTATGTTCAACTAATAAAGAAACATAGGTATCTATGGATATTTCGCAGAACCATTTCTGTTTTGTGGAAGCCGAGAAAATATAAGATGCGTCGTATTGTCAGGGTATTCAAGTGATCTAAACAAATTGCTTGGCAAAGCTGGCACCTTTGGGTTGATATTTTTATGTCAAAAAGCCTGCTGGACGTATCCGAAATGTCAAGATGTATTAAAAGTTTGACCCAAGCTTCGATAAATTACAAAACATGCAGATCACTTGGATAGCTATTAGTGCTAATAGGTAGAATAGGGTCTTACAATTTTACATTTTTTCCTAAATAGTTATTGTCCTTACACAACAGTGGTGTAAACGTAAACATAAAAATAATTTTAAAAGGAAATTCTTACTATTAGGACTATAGCAATATGCATTTTGTACATGCGAGATCACGAATAAAAAGAACAATATAGGCTAACAAAAAATATTGACCATAAGTAGGAACAACGTCATATTACATACTTACAATGTTGAAGGTTTGAAATGTTTTCATTCACTAATTCATAATACGTCATTATTTACAAAATTATAAATTGAGGTCTTGGAAATACTGTTTTCCTGTGTTACCTACCCAGAAAATTAAGAATTTGCTGTCTATAAAATGGACCTGAAATAAAAATGCACTTAGGTCAGTATCCCAATCTATCTGAATATTGCTTAAAGATACTAGCCCACAGGCCTGTATTATAACGCATCAATTACTCGCAACAAATTGATTATTGTTTGATAACGGCCTTTAGAAATTGGATATACAGTGCTGATCAAAGTCGTTTTCCTATTTAGACTCATATAGCTATGCACTGTCATTGCCAGGCGAACTGGTGACGACGCTTATTTGGCGCACTCTTCCTAACATTATTCGTCAGTTTATCTCTCTCTCTCTCTCTGTCTGTCTCGTGCACATAGAAATCTAAAAATGAGTACGATTTACTCCAGCGCTGTACCTATACATATTTATTACAGATAATACATACGTTACCAAACATTCATCAATTTCAAAAACAAAAATAATATTTCATAATTTAGGGTGCTTGAGCAAACCCAAACATATGTATTGTTCCAACTTTGAGGTCTGTTATCGTACCAGACCGTACCAGACTCGTTCGATTATCATTTGTTGCGCTTTCATACGCATGCGCCGAATTCACCGTAACAAAACTGTTTTACAACGCTCCCAAAACTGTTACGATAACTCTCACAATTTTTCCTTAATGTGCAAGAGTTTGATCGTTCCAGAACGGTTCTTAGACTGTCATATATAAACTGAAGCAAGCAATTGTACGAGGGTGGTTCAAATATTATCGAGACAAATGGTCTGACACGTTTATTTACTATCGAAAAATTTTACAAAAATTTACAGTTTTTCTAGGGACGTTCCCTCACTAGTTACGCATTTTTTCCACCTTTCCGGGAGCTTTTTAATGCCGGTATTGAATAATTCCTTGGGCATCTCGGACAGTCATGTGCGCACGAACTCTTCTACCTCGTCGTCGTTGTCGAATCCTTGACCTTTGACCTCCGAGGGCTTCTGTCAGTGATCCAAACATGTAGTAGTCGCAGGGTGATAAGTCCGGACTGTAGGGGGGTGTTGCAGTACCTCCGACGCCAATTTCGATATTGTCTCGAGCCTGAGACGCCCAGCATAAGGGCGCTGGGGAAGAATCGCACTTCTTGCTGGAATGCTTCTCCATTTCAAGCGATAAGCGGGTTTCACCTATGTTTTTAGAAGGTTAGAGTAGTATGCAGCATTGGTGGAACGTTGGGTGCTCAGGAAGTCGACGTACAGCAGGGCGAAAGCTGTCTGGTGCGATGCTGGTTCGCGGTCGACGATCATGCAGCTCATTCTCGATGGTTTCGCGGCCATCCTTGAATGCTATGGCCCATTTAAACACAGCAGCCCTACTCAGACACTCACTACAGAACTGATTTTGCAAACGCAGAAAAGTTTCCGTATTTTTATTGCCTTCCCACACTAAAAAACGAATGACAATACGTTGCGTAACGGCGTTTGTCACTTGACCTTCACTCATGGTCGTTAGCGCGCGCGCGAAAGCTGTGGCACACTGTTCGTAAGGGACGCAGCTATCATATACTCAAGCCACGACCTTCAAGACATACATGCACGCCATCTACAGCATTTGTCTCGATCATATCTGAACCGCCCTCGTATTTAATAAATGGCGTTGTGAATCCATTTATGTATATTTTGACTCAGTGATGCTTGAAATATGACAAATACCAAAATAACTATTAGGTTTACATTGAGTCTTAGAAAAAACATTTTCTACTTGAGAATAAGTAATTTAGGCACAGTAACAACAAATATTCGTTTGGATAATGCCCTATATGAAGTAGCACTGGATCATAATCCAGGTACCTACAGCATATTCCATACCTCATTTACGCCTTGTACGTAGAAGTAAGCAGTCGATCGTCGCTTCTTTTCGATTGTCGTTGCCTGCCCAGGCATTTAGGACCCGCTGGCAATAGACTCGCGCGAGTTTGAACTTCGCGCGCTGCTGCTTTTTTTTGACGGGGCGCAAATGAGATTTGTATACATCTTGTGTACTTATTTCATGGATATTGATAAAAGCCTCCGAAACATACACTATACACTAGATATTACGATTAGAGGGTTGTTGAGTCATCAGTTCAACTTTATTTTCATCACGATTTCATAATAATCAGGACGTTGCTGATAATGCGGAAAAATCAAATATATCTGAATTCGATTCAGAGCTTAAGAAAAGTGTGCCATTAAAATCAATTGATTTTTTAAATAGATATCCTTAGTTTGACCAAGAACTTTCGTGTATGGTAAAATCACCCTGTATAGGACGATCCAAAAACAATGACAATACTTTTGGTGCAAAAATTACATTTAAAAATAACAGCAAGATACAGAGTGTTGTACATTACTACGTAACTGATGAAACTGAATAAAGACAAAACATTGTCCAAAAAACGCTACGTTGAGATGGATTAACTTACGTGGAATCCTAAATGTACAACATCACTAAGCGTATTTTAAAGTGAAATGAATTGATCTGTATGAACTTAAGATGTTCAAACCAATTCATGAAAAACTGAATATCTCATTCAGAATATCTTTCAAGAAAGATATGATTTTTTTATTTTCCTTTAGGAGTCATCATTTTCCAATGTCTATGTAATGTAATTTTAACATGAATTTATTATACTTTAAGTACAAGCATGGCATTTTAAGTCAACATGGTCATTCACTCTCAGGATCTACAGGGTGAGTTTTAAGTGTGGACTCGGTCATTACGCATAATATATAAAAAAGTTAAACACAAAAATAAAACTGTAGCCTAATGCGGAAAATATTTTTATTTTTACAGGGTGACAAACATACATTTTTTTAAATGGAAAGCCCTAAATTTTATTGCAGATTCGGATAGAGAACTTTTCAAACTAAGCAATTTGATATCATACACTATAGGGCTTCATTTTCAAATTCTTGAGATACTCCCAACTTTGACAACTCGCACTCCCGCAAATGAATTTTTCATCAAAAAATTTTCTGATGTCATATTTTGTCAGTCAGCTTATTAAATAGCTTATACAGGGTGGTCAATAAGACAAAATGAACTATTACTCCAAATTTTCAAATGGTATCCCTGTATATTTTCACATTCCTTGATTACCCATTTCACAAGCTTTTTATGATATGAGGTTTAAGGCAGTATGTACGACTGGTTTTTGAGTTGTGAAAAATACAGGGCCACCTTGACTTTTCGACTTTATTGCATGGAGCTGGGTAGTATTATTTTATAATGAAAATACACCAACTCTAAAGATCTTCCGTTATTAAATAAAATCTGTTATTAAATTAAATAAATGCTATTATTAATTGAGTAAAGGTACTGTAGTATTTTTCATTTTCCCTGACATCTGATATACAAAAGGCTGTAACTCAAAATCCAGTCATGAGAGCCTTCAAAAACTTTATAAAGTTAAGTGTTTTTTCGATAGTTTGTTCAATATCTCAACTACTTGAAAATAAAACCCTATAGCATGTTATATCAAATTGTTTTGTCTTGTTAAAAAAATGGATGCCTGGGTTACCACATAGTTAGAATCATCCTGTAGAGATAAAAATGTTTCCTAAATAAGTAGCCTACAACTTTTGTAATCAACTTCTTTAGATATCTTGCGTAATGAGGGATTTATGGACAGTACATAAACTACAAACCCTGTATATTATGGATTTCAAAATCGTAACTTCAACATCATGTATCTCGGTAAGTGTTATTTTTGAGTGTACTTTCTGCCGGAGTAATATTGACTTGAATTATTTTCTATAAAGTTGAAGTCACTTAGCACAATTTAGCTGCAATTTTCTCATGATATGTTTTGACAGCGATATTCAATGATTTTTAGTTTACAATATACGTAAATTGTAAAGTCATGATTCAATTCGTTTAAGTATACTGTAATCATGAATGCCTAACGACACCTGGGCCATAGCAGCAAAGTATAATGAAATGTTAGGCTCATACTTATAGACACCACCTAAGTGAGGGTGTGAGTTTTACTTAAGGCGCAGCTCTCAAGAATATTTGATGTTGTGAAATATTTGAGTTTCAAACAATCCTAAGCTGATTCGTGTGATATCTCGCATAGGACCTTAAATGCTAATCAGGAGACAACATTGTACATAATTTCACACAAATTATACATTTCGCAGGTAAAAGCATCCCCCTTCAGAGGTGAGTGTCTCTTAGGTCACACTTGAGTGAGACTTTAAAAATAATTTAGCACGTAACATACGACCAAGCACCTAAAAGCAAAATCTGGATATTATCCACAAAATTGCAAAAAAATCCTTCAAGTGACAGTTGGAAATGCCAGAATTACATTTAAGTGACTAATACTCCCTTAAGCGTCCGTTACTGTGACACTCATTATTTGTCATCAGGAGGCGACTGTAGATAACAGCCTGTCACGTTCGTAGACGTTGGTTGAGGATTGAGTACCGTTTGAGGAATTGTAAAATTTTTCGAAATCACAATTTTCGACATTTTCAAAACTACCAAACTTTTCACAATTTTTCGATTTTCCAAAATACATACTCAATATTTCTGAGATTTTCGAAAAATTCTAAACTTTTAAAATTTCCAGCTTTGAAAAAGATTTTTTTTAAAAACTGGGAAAGCTCATAACATTTTCATAATTTTCAAAATTAACAGATTAGTCACGGTTTTCAAAACTTTGGAAGTTATCAAAATTTTCAGTTTCAAAAATTTGAAGACTTGTCAAGACTTTCAAAGGGCCGCCTGCAAAACATATTGAAAATGGGTACCAGTCGATTTATCAAAAAATTCAGTACGACATATCTCTCTCCTTTCTCATAGGACCAAAGCAATCCCATGATTAGTTTCTCAGGAGTAGGGGGATTAAGTTTGCCTGGCTTGCAAAAAAGAATCAGTTTGTTAAAGAAGTGTTCCATTAAAACGCCATTGTTCCAAATGAGGCAAACTTCCTCCATTTATTTCTCAGAAACTAATTATAGGGTTGCTTTGGTCTCATGAGAACCTTTGGTCAGTAATGCGAGACAATTATATCATCCTCAATTTTTAGACTAATCAACTGAGACTCATTTTCGATTTTGTGCGGGGTCTTTTCAGAATATTCAGAATTTTCAAAATATTTAGAATTTTCAAATCACAAACATTTTGAAAATTTCTGTAGATTTGATAATTTGGAAATTGTGGAAAATCTTCCAATTTTTGGAATCTTGTGATGACAACTGTAACAACCTACTATGAAAAGCAAATGCCAAATAGTTCGTTGAACGTTCCACAGAGAAGCGTTAGGTACTATTTAAAATTAAAGGACAGACCATTCTTCAGAAGAAACTCAATCCCCGAGGAACGTATATAAATGTCTTCCTACATAAAAACAGAATTGTCATTTAACAATAAAATAACCCATCCAAAGCAATTGACAAAAGGAACATCATAACAAGTAGATAAATGATTCATGGCCGCCCATATAGCAAAAAGCAGAGGGGGGCAGGTTTGGATCACCCGTTTAAAGCGGTGGGAGCAAAAATTATTTTGAATTATTAAGATGCTTTGAGGAGTAAAAACAGACCCCCACTAGTTCAATAAACGCTCTCTTGCCTCCTAGTATGGACGCCCACGGTAGGATTTATTTTTTGGTGATGAGCCCCATAGGCAGCAGGTCGCATTCGCAAGCTGCCCCACCGTCTCCCGCATGACATTTTCTGACACACCATGCAGGCCAGTTGACTTTAGGGTCGCTTTCCAGGACCAACGACTGCTTAGAGAACTCCGAAGCGGTAGCATATGCCTCGCAGGATTGACACCCGTTCAGTTGGTAGTTGTAGTGGAGGCAATAAAAACTGCAAACTGAAAGAGAAGATCAAATCCTTGAATGTAGGCAATGAACTATTAATAATAATAATAATTAACGTCTTTTTATTTGTAATAGTATTACAGGAGGTGAGATTTATATAATATCTATTCTACCATCTAACCCCCTCAGCAATACGAGATAAAAAACTTCTTTCGAATTTGGGTAATGAATTGGTTCCTTTCAAACTGCGGTCTAAAGAATTACATGATTTGATTGCATTGTAAATATATGTATTCTGAAATACAGATGTGCTGTGGCGTGGAATTGGAAAAGTATATCTATATCTAATATTAATGCCATGCATATTCCCTCTACGTATGAATTTGTTTACTAAATATGACTGTGTTTTTGAAAAGAGAACCCAATGAGTCAGACCTAGGAGCTGGTACTTATACATTTCATCAATTTTCATCCATTTGATTTCATTATTGGCCTTCGATATATGATCAATCTTTCTGAGACCATTTACAAGTCTGTAACATGTATTCATAATACTTTGAATACGGTTTCTTGTTATAACATCTAAATAGGGATACTAATCTCATTATTTTTATACTCGTTCGAGTCTACCTTCCATAAACATGGATGTTTTACCTTACGCTTTCAATAAAATACTCCATTTAGTCTATTGCGAATTCCGAAGCGCAAGAACAAATAACAAGGTGGCGACATCGCGCCAAGCCGGACTCCATCAAGAGCGGTTCGTTGGCATTTACGGGTGACGCGACGCAAGGGGAGGATAGATATAGCGCGTTACAGGGCAGAATATCGCTCGGTAAGCATATCCCGACAAATACGTAATATATCAATGGGATATAAATATATCTTATAGCGTCCGTGCGTGGCGGCTCAATACGTTTACACATGGAGCGATATTTCTGTAATATGCAGGATATAATATACAGGGTGGCGCATCGAAAACGAAACAGACGCATTTACTGGCAGCTCAGATTTTTTTTTTGGAAAAACGCTCAGACCCGTCGATTTTGTTTTCGATGGGGACACAAGTTTGGCAAAAAATCACGTTGACACGTGCAGCCCCCTGGGCAGGGGTGACACCAACCCTAAAATCTTAACTGGAAAGGCAGTCGAGTGATATCTTATTTTAAAGGTCTTTCAATTCCCATCATAATGATGTAAAATACATGAACTTCAGTTCAGTAGTTTTAAAGATTTATTGACTTAAAGCTTAAAGTAGACTTTAATAGGTACATCAGATTAGTTGTACTGCTTTCAGAAGAAATTTGACTAAAAGAATTTACTCACTAAGTAAATGCTTTTCTTCACTACGCCTATGGTTTGTTTATCATTTTGTTGTTGAAAATAGCTATTGGAGCGCTTTTTGTGGTAAAAAAGTTATTTTTTGAAGAAAGATAAGGAAATATCTCGTACTTATTTTAGATAGGAATTTAGTACATAGTTTGCGATTGATTTGACCAAACTTTGTTGCTAAAATAACTTGTAACGCTTTATTACATAAATTAACCGTGGTATATTCCACAGCGGAAAGAGTTGAAATTATCGAAATATTTTTCGGAAATAATTAGTCCGCTGATAGAACAGCAGAAATATTTAACGAGCGACATGAGAACAGTAACGTGCATCGAAAATATGGTCTAGAACTTGTAGCTAAATTTCGGGAAACTGGGTCAGTCGCCAATAAAAAACGCAACATTGAAAATCCCATAAGGAACGAAGCAATAGAAGTGGGGGTTTTAGGGCAAGTTTATGTAGATCCTACGTTAAGTACCCGCAAATTGGAGACTGTGTGCGCTGTTAGTCGACGTACAGTCCAACGGATTCTAATGGCCCATAGTTTTCATCCGTATAAAATTCACCTGGTACAAGAACTTATTGAAGACGATTTTGATCGGCGATTACAATTTTGTGAAAATATGAGTGAACGAATTATAAACGATGAACATTTTCTATTCAACACTTGACGAATGTTCCTGTTTCTTAAATGGCGTAGTAAATCGTCATAACTGCCGATATTGGTCCGATTCTAATCCCAGATTTTATCACGAGGTTCATACACGGCAGCCACAAAAATTAAATGTTTGCGCTGGTATTTTTGTCGATCATTTAGTTGGTCCTTTTTCTTACCCGGAAATTTGACCGGTGGAATCTATTTGGAATGACTGGAAGACGCCATAGATCCTGCATTGACAGCCATAATTGAAAATCAGAATGATCGGCGGTACATTGCGAATAGGTTGATGATCCAACAGGATGGTGCCCCACCACATTACGCATTACGTGTTCGACAATGTTTAGATTAGACGTTTCCAGACCGATGGATTGGTAGAAGAGGTGCCATTGAATGGCCTCCAAGATCACCAGATTTATCACCTTGGATTTCATTATGTGGGGTCATTTAAAAAGCAAAATCGCTGCTACTCAGCCAACAGCATTAGAAGACGTGCCACACAGAATTGTGAATGAGTGCATTCAAATTACTCTTCAAATATTACAAAATGTGCGGCAACGTTTTGAGCAAAATCTTTATTTTTGCATGGAGAGTCATGGTGGGCATTTTCAACATTTACTTGCCTAACGGCATTCTTCACTTTTAAATTACTTTGCTGCCAAATGTATTGATCTCCACTAATGATGATGGATTAGTTGTAGTCAAGCTTTAAATCAATAAATCTTCAAAACTACTGAACTGAAGTACATTAATTTTATATCATTATAAAGGGAATTGAAACTCGGCCCCCCTTTCCATTTAAGATTTTGGGGTGGTATCACCCCCGCTTAGGGAGCTGCACGTGCTAACGTGATTTTTTGCCAAACTTGTGTCCCCCTCGAAAACAAAATCGACGGGTCTGAGCGTTTTTAAAAAAAAACTGAGCTGTCAGTAAATGCGTGTTTCGTTTTCGATGCGCCACCCTGTATATTATATTATCGTTCACCGTCCGTTGCCAGCTTTACATAGCCAGTCACTAGTTAGGATACATAGTAGCAACAGCGGCACGATGATTCCGGTACAACGAAGAGATTAACCTGTTAAGTGGTTAAGACGTATATATCCGCAAACCCATATATTACAATCAATGCTTATGACGGATATTCTCGCTTCGGCTATTTTTTGGTAGCCCGCAATGGTTAAGACGTATACGTTCGCCTGCTGTAGTTTACTGGTAAACAAAATCCTAATCCAACTACGCGGCGGAATTATTTTGTGGAATCTCTTCCCGCTCAGTCGTTATTTGGGCGTGTTACCGTGTGGCTGATTACGACATTATTACGTTTAGTATTCCACTACGTTTGTGCAGGAAAAGGAAGTGTTCTTGAATATATATACAAAATGTCTAATTTAGAAGACAATGACTCTGAAGATATTGATATTAGTGGCGACGAGGCGGACGAGGTGGATGGTTATACAAGTTCGGACGAGACAGAGGGCGAATCGGAATATGAGGACAGTGGAGAAGATACTAATGATGAGACGGAGCCTGAGCCCGAACCTGACTTTGAAATGCCCTGGACCCAAAATGGAATCCCCAGACCAGCATTTCCTTTTACATCGAACAGTGGCGTGCAGGTACCTGCTAAAAGAAACCCTTTGGACATTTTTGAAATTTTTTTTGATGAAAGTCTAATAAACCTTATAGTTGAAGAAACCAATCGATTTGCTATCCAATATATTATAAAAAATGGAGAAAACATAAGACCGCACTCTAGAGTACGCCAATGGAAAGAAACGAATACCAACGAAATTAGGACGCTTATAGGCCTATTGATATTACAGGGATTATGTCCTAAGCCTGAATACAAAATGTATTTCTCTCGGAGAGAGAGCATAGAAACTCCATTTTTTTCGAAAATTATTTCCGAGAAAAGATTTCACTTGTTATTGAAATTTTTGCATTTTGTTGATAATTCAACAATAAATGCCAACACAAAAATCGCAAACTTGCCAAAGTACTTCCACTTCTAAACCATTTAAGGGAGAAATTTATGACCAGTTATGTGCCAGAAAGGGACATCGCGATAGACGAGTCTCTGATTGGCTGGAAAGGGAGATTGGGCTGGAAACAATACATACCTTCTAAACGAAAGAGGTTTGGCATCAAACTATTCGCTTTATGTGAAACTTCTGGTTATATGTATAATTTATCATCTATACAGGTGCTGATACGATTTATGAAGCACAGCATTCTCAGGAACCAGTTACATCAAGGATAGTTTTATCCCTTGTTGATTCGCTACTTGACAAAGGGTATCGACTTTTTCTAGACAATTACTACACAAGTGTTGACTTGGTTCACAAATTAGTAAAACGAAGAACAGACTGTGTGGGAACAATTCGAGCAAACAGAAAAGGTATCCCTAAAGATTTACAAGTGAAATTATCTAAAGGACAGTCTGTTGCTAGATACAATAGAAAAATTATGATACAAAAATGGCATGACAAGAAGGATGTTTTAATGATAACTACCCTTCACGATAAAACTATGGAAAAGGTCTTAACTAAAAAGGGTGAAATTGAGAAACCCACTTGTGTACTAGAGTACAATAAAAAAATGGGCGGGGTGGACTTAGCCGATAATTATTTGCACTACTATGGAACGGCAAGGAGTAGAGTAAAAAAATACTACATGAAAATGTTCTGGCACTTTTTGAGTGTAACAACGCTAAACTCATTTCATATATACAAACGAAATGGAGGCCGACTGAAAAGGATAAATTTCTTGTTAGAATTGGGAGAACAAATAGTTAGAAAATATAGCTCACAAATAACTTTCGGAACAAGGAGATCAAGGGCACCAATGCCATCAAGATTTATTGAACGTCACTTTCCGTCGGTTATACCACCTACTACGAAACAAAAACCAACAAAAAGGTAAGCTATTGTATCACAGAAGGCATTTTTTTTTAAATCAGTTTTTTAGGTGTGCAATATGTGCTGAAAAGAAAATCAGAAAGGAAAGCCGTTACTGGTGCCAAAAATGCCATACTGGTCTGTGTCCCGCACCGTGTTTTGAGATTTTCCATACCAAGTAACAAAAAAGCTACAAAAATAAGTAAGTTTTAATTTATTCTTTATCTATCATTTTAACAGCAACTCTTCTTACTAGGTATGAAGAATGGAATGAGAAAACTGGTGCACCTTCAATGCAATGTTATAAGTTAGCCTTCACCTTTACTTTTCTTTAGATACCAGTTCAATATTTTTATGTTGTTTTGACGATAATATACGCCTTTCAGTTTTATTGTCGAATTTTAATGCTATTGACGTATATATACGCTAGTGAATATAGTCAGTGCTGATGACGGATATGTCCGCATGCGATAAAATTACGGGCCATCTAGAAAAGCCTATGGTTGTTTATCCTGGGCCACTTAACAGGTTAATACCTTTGATTAAGATGTGCTCACCAGGTAACACTAATCTGGTCCTGCCATTTGCACTCCTTATATAATGTCCCAGCTGTGCAACTGGTCATGAATGGTTGTTAACCTGGAGGACATGCTCGTTGCAGGAAACTAGCAATCACTTATGGTATACACATGTATGACAAAAATGAAGGTTCTTATTACTTTTGAACTACACTTATAGTACACCGAGATGACATGAATTGTGATAGCATTGTTAGCTCTAAAATAATCGAATAGGTAGAACGTTCCATCAGTTGATGGCTATCCAGCAAAACAACTTTTGTTATACTTGACACAAAGTCCCACATCGCACGTTGAAGGCTTCCATATAAGGTGCGTGAGATGACAATTGAGGAGCTTGCGTTCAAAATCACCTATATCCGTTATTTGGATATTTTGACATTTTCGTTGAGGAGCTCTAGCAAATGGCACGTTCATTGTGTTCAAAACCGCAAAGTTGTGGTTTTGCATTAAAACCGTCTATATCTGATTTTGTGATCAAAACGGCTTATATCCAGGATCAGCTGATTCGCTCATTCATGCATATTATCCGCTAATTATTGAGGTTAGCTATTAGAATTTAGTACGCAAAGCAACGAGCAGGAACTTATAAGCATTAGAGAGGTAAATAAAGGCACAAGACGCCGCAAAACAGCAAGAGAATAAGTCCCCTACGTGAAATTTCCGTTACTTTCCCCATTCGTGAGCACATCTTCATGGCAGTCAATCGCTGTTTTGGTAGAGTTGCAAAATTACTTAAGAAGAATCCAGTAATACTTCCTAAAGAAGAGTATATTAAAATTTATAGTGAAGTAGGGAAAGTAAAAGTTATAGCAACCGACTCGAAAATAGTTGATATTAAAGACCTTGAAAGGGTATTCAAAGTCAGTCATTCAATCTCGGTCACAGCGAACACACATACACTGTAGGTTCGGTCCCTGTAAACTATTGTTGGAAACCAAATAAAGTTTTTTAAAAACGAAGTTTGAAGTTCCGACTACATAATTCAGGAGAGTTTCATAGCTGAATGTTATCTAAGCTGTCTATGTCTAACAAGTGCATAATATTACTTCTTGGCCTTTCACCGATACCAGAGATGCAATATTTACATATTCTCTACCCCTTACAATTCCCAACTCCCTACAACCCTAATGCCACAATTTTCTCTCAAAAATTTTTCTAAAAGTGAGGTACACTGCAACTATAAAAACAAAGTTTGAGCGATTGTATTTTTTGTACGTAGCAACGCTATTACTGGCTCGATTTTCAAAACCTAGAAAGCTGTTTCGCCCTTGGTATAGTAGTACTTTTTTGTCAAAATTTAAACAAAATCCGATGGACGCTTTCCGAATTATAGGTACAGGGTCCAAAGATTAGCAAACAGTCAAACCGAGGGCATAAAGTAACTACTAGGAGGGGACAGCCTGTCAAAAATCAGGTTCTATCGGCGCCAACTTGAGGCCTATGTGTTTAGTAGGATTTCCTTGGCTGCCAATTGCCACTGTGAATTATAGGGATTCGATTTACTTACTTCTACTCCTTTTGGTGGTTATATTCAATATAAAAATCTATCAAAACCTTATCATGTCCAAATACATGTGGGCAAATGACACATTCCTTGATTTTGTAATTTGACGTAAGATATTTGTGACGTCAGACTAAAGAAACTTAACCACCCTTGGGAGAAATTCCTCTGGACGCACATGGAATCGGGTAAGAAACGCGCCAAACAATTGAGGAGACGGAGATCAAAAGGACCGACAGAAGCTGTCACATTTGCATAATCTTTGCTAAGATGATGAGTGACATATGGACACCCGCAAGAAATATTCTCAGGTAGAGCCGGTGATGGGTAACAGACATCATTTTGTGAAAGTGTATCTATCTGCCCAAAAAACTTGTTGAAGGCGGGGGATAGCAAACTTTTTCAGCAGAGGTCAAATACAAAAATATCTCAAGTTGTACAAAAAAACATCATATGCAAATTTTAAGGTCTAACTGAATTCTTAGAGGGTGGTGCTACACACCTTCCCTCTGGAACCCTCTTGCGGGCGCTCATGGAGTGACATGGTTTTTCGTAATGTGCATGCACGTAACATCACAAAAACCGAAAGCAAAAGAGAGCACACCTACATTTTGAGCCTAAACACATTGTTTTTCATTGCCTCGTCATTGATCGTGATGGCCATATGGGTTTTACATAAAGATAATAATGATTTCGATAATACCTCACGCACAGCTTGTACGAGTATACCATCCCAACATCGCCCTCTCCTTATAGGAAAACATCAATAATGAGCACCCAGCAAATCCCACTGCACATTCACCGATCACATCTAACAACGATCAAAATTCACTCACTCTGTATGAAGTTTGGCCTGTGCTGGTCATCTCTCCAATTGCCTCCGGGACATTTGCAGAGCGGCTTGCCAAGGCCGTTGAGGCACAGCATGTCGCAGACCTCATCTCGCACCCGCGTCTCGTTGTTTTCGGCGGCTCCTGCTGGGGGAGCCGCTCCTGCCGTCGCTCCTGCAACGGGAAGATCTGCAGGAGTGAGATCGACGCAGTCGTCGCCGCAGGAGTGACCGCCCAACCCTGAAGAGCATAGCTCCACGCAGATCTTGCGCGCTTCGCTACGAGATACGGTTGGACGCAAGAGTTCGGAAGACACGCCCTCGCAGTGGAGCCACAGCAGGAAGGCGCACAGGGCGAGGTTCAGCTGGAGTCTGCAACAGGGAGTGATACCATTTATTAACGTATCATTACAGTATACAGGGTGTTTCAGAAAGACGTGCCAATATTCCTATGGTAGAAAGTAAATTCAAAAATGAGAAAAAAGTTCCTATAAATAAGTCAAGAGGTACAGACGCATAATATGGCCCAGTTTCAGTCCGAGAGCAATAAAAAAATAAACGCCAACAACTAAAAAAAATATTTTTATTCGCAACGTGTAGAAGAACTATAAAGGAAATAAAATGTTATCCAAAAACATCAAAAAATCAGAAACATGGGAAAAACATAGCAAAAACAAAAATGTGTTATTTTGGCCATATTTCTGACTTTCGATGAAATATGGCCCAAGTACCGAAGCGTGGTCAGAAATATGGCCCTCAATTAACTTAATTATTCTACTACTAAAACACTTATGTGTCCTCGGCAGTCAATCCAACGCATATTTCGTGGATCCACAATAGGCAACTGGCGCACTGTCGCATATCACTTACAGAATCCTCATTGCACACACCACATAGCCAATTTCCTTTCGGCTTTGATTGACTTTTTGACGACTTCGTTGAGTTTGCTTGATATGAGTGTTCGGTAAATATCTCTCTTTTTAACAGCTGCGCTTTATAATTTAATGCCTTCCTTTTTGGTCTTGATTTCACTGTTCCCATATCAGGCGTTTTCAGGATATCTGAGAAATTCAAATTTTTCTCAGGTGCTGAACATTTTGCTCCTTTATTTACGGAATCCTGCATTTTAGTCTTGATAATAGTTGTATTTAAAATATTAATTTTTTTATTCGTATCAGATGTAATAGCAGACGTTTGTTGATCAGTCCAGTGAGAACAACCAGCACCCGATTTTTCCTCTATTTTCATTCTTGTTGATGGATTATGATTCTTGAGGAAATATCCAAGTGGCAGATCATCATCTGAGCTATTATAACTTTCCGGTTCACCATCCATCACTTCAGGAATGTCTTTATGTGTCAAGGTAGATGGAGCAAAAGCAGTCTCTGGAACAACATCCGGGTCGAAGGGAAAAATTCCTGTTGACCTGAAACCACTTTGAATGTTGCGTATTGTCATTGCTTGTTGCCAAACTTTGGTATAAACAAGTCCAAATCTGTCCTTTTTAATACTCTCATTGCAGCAGGATTACTCTCCCAGTATTTCATCAACTCAATATCCCAATAATGCTCGAAACTACGAAAAACCGCCTTATCCAGCGGTTGTAGTTCATGCGTCGTATTTGACGGTAACCAGTAAATTGAAATGTCATGTTGTTCAGCCACTTCCACGATTCAGATATCTAAATGGCAGGAGGCACCATCCAAAATCAGAAGAACCTTACCAGCAGGTTTATACTTTGACAAATGCTGCAACCATTTAAGAAATATTTCTCGTGTCATGCTGCCTTTAGGAGACATTTCAAGTATCGACCCAGGAGGCAAATTGTCGCTGTAAGATTCCTTTTTCCGCAAGCCTTTGAATATTAACACACGCGGCACAGTTGCCCAAGAGCGTTAACACAAGCAACAATTGTTGCATTCTCTGCATGTTCATTGCAGATATTGTGGACCCTGCGTTCCCATTTGGATGCCAAGACTAACTGAGAATGATGTAAAGTTAGGCGGCACCCTTTTTCATCTAGATTATATATCTATCCGTTGTGGTGAGTTTTGAATGCTTAATTCGTTAAGGACTTTCAACAATTTATCAAAGTGGTCTCTCACAATAACGGGATTTAATTTTTGAGCCCTCGCAGCATGGATTGAGCTTTCCTTTTCGATATTTTTAGATACCGTCTCAAAAAACTTTTATACCACGTGAACCCAGCCATTTCTTTTGACCTATTTATGTGAAATATTGTTGGTTATACAAAACTGGTAGACACTTCTTCGCACGGATTTTGGAGTGAGTGGTAGTTCTGAACGAGAGAGCTTTAAAATGCGAGCTCCCAACTCTCCCTCTTGTTCGAAAGTAAGTAAAGGTTTACGACCTAATATTCTATCGCTAAGACCAGATTTTATATGATTCCGTAACGTAGTTCTAGGAATTCCGCATTTTTGCTCCACGTATCGTTGGCTTTTCCGCTACTAAGAAGTTGTAGCGCCTCCGACATCATATCTTGAGTCCAATTTCCTCGAACTCCCCTACATAATTTCCCCATTTTCGACCTGAAAAACAAAAAACTGAATTAGGATAGAAGGATGAAATGGTCAAAAATATGGCCCACCGCCATGCAGAAATTTGGCTCACTGGCTGGGCTGTATTTCTGCCTATGTACAAGATTCATATTTTAGGTTAGATTTTTGTAACCTATACAGATACTTTGCAAACTCACAAGTTTTACGAAGGTCATCCATGGCGAAGGCGAGATTCGAACTCGCGACCCGGCCGGCCGGCTGATCAGTAGCACGACACTCTGACCAACGCGGCCAACCGAGGCCCCCTTTACGAAGGTTAAGGACTAATGTTTCTATTGAATGTAAGCACTTACCTTTAAGGCGGCTCCGACGCAGTGAGTTTCAGGCCATTTACAAGGGTTTAGCTGCTTCAGAATTGACGCTCCATTTTTCTATATATTTGAATAAAATTTATACAGTATTTTCAGAAGACGATTGTCCAGGGTGCTATAGAGCCACTTTTCTAAAAAAAATTTTTTTTCAGGAGTTATGGTGGGTGGAAGTGCAGATAATTGTTGTTCGACTTCTCGATTTTTTTAAAAATAACCCAGAGGAAAAAACGAAAAAGTGGCTCTATAGCACCCTGTGGAGTCTTGTTTTAGTGCACTGTGAAAATTTCATTGAAAAATATTCAAAAATGAAGCGTCAATTTTGAAGCGCGAAAACCTCTGCAAATAGGCTTTTACACGAATTTTATCCACTATCTCGTGCTGCCAGTCGAAGCAACGCGGCGGGGTGTACGGACTAAGAAAGGACGTATTCAGATAATTTGTTGTCCCAAGTTAAACAGTAGCAGTTTTAACGTCGGTCGTTCGAGATAAACATCGGACCAGTAAGTGATATTTTTAATAGACGTCAATGACAGAGGGGAAATTTTTAATCGATTTTGATCATTTCTTTTTATACAATAGGCCATGCTTCAGAGGTGATACCACAAAAAATCATTTTTGTTCAATCACCCCAATATGGATATCAAATGGAAGCACTTGTACAAAACAGTAATACGAAAACAGTTTCAAATCAAGATGGCGGCCGTTACAAAATGGTGGATAACATACTTGCTAATATCTCAAATAAGAGTCGTCGCCTTGTAGAATACAGTACTTCACTAAAAATTTGATTCCAAGATTGCCACCGTTTCGAAATTGCGAGTTACATATTTTTGTACAAAATCCCCAATTTACATATCAAATGAAAAGACTTGACATGTGTGGTAAAATACAGAACTTTGTGACCAAAAGTTTCTAGTTGGTTCCAGGGTCATTGGAGGCGGTAATCTTTTTAGTTAAAAATAATAATTATAGTGAACGCATTTAACACAAATAAAATGTCACTTGCTGTTTAGCTTTAACCTTATGGAGTATCGTAAACAAAACACGATAAGCGTCATGAGATATAATGCGTGTGTCGCACCTCATTTGGCGCTTTGGGCCTCGTGACACACATGATATGTCTCACTGCTGGCAGTTATATTTGGCCGCATAAGGTAAGACGTGTGCCATGCTGATGTGATTTTCTTACGGGAACCAAGAGTCCGTGGCCTGAGGGACCAAATTATACTGAATTGGAAATGAAAACATTAAAAAACACGTTGTTTATAGAGTTTTACAAAAGAGGATTTTCTACAAATCTAAAACAAAAAGCAAATCTTATAAAATAATCAGACATTCTCATTCAAAAATGAACAAAGTAATTCCACTGCAAATCAGTAAGTTATGGTAAATGTCGATATTCTAACGAACACAAATATTGAGGAACTCTTATAAACTAAACAGATTGACAAAGTCTTATGCAGGAATAAACAAAATACCGGTATAAATAAACAGTAATACAGATAAATATGGAATTACTACAGCTACTATCTGATTCACTACCACTTGGAGAATACGCATCAGATAAGTATACATCCCCACATAACTCAGTACTGCCACTCTCTTCATCCGATAGTATTTCATTACACAATTGTTCAAGCCTTTTTTGCTCCGCTTCGTAATGCGACATCACAAATTTGGTATTCAATAATTTATAAACAGTAAAGCAATTTGGACAAGATGACGTACAATACCAACAACGCTTCAATAATAAATGACACGAAACAGTGCTCAACGCGAGACATGATGCAAGTCTTGACTTGCAAAAAACGCGACGCGACTTATGTGCCACGCGACCCGACTGGTCTGTGGGCCACGCGACATACAACTAGTACCTCAGAAAAAAAATCAAAAAAGGGGAAAAATCGTAGGATTTGAGAAAAAAGTCAAGTCAAAATATTAAACCGAAACTTGAAACAAGCTAATTTGACAATAATAACAGTTTGGCCCAGTGGACTGGATTTTCAGATTCTACTGTGGCGCTTAACGTGTCAATGTGACATTTCAATATTCGCCATCTAACAGACTAGATAAAGCTAGCCGATGCTACGTGCTATTGAGCCTGACGATTGACTTTTATTTAAATAAACAATATATACATAATATACAATAAATAGTAAACATCTAGTACTAGTACCAAAATGGAAGAGATTAGCATAACATCTCGCACATCGCTGCTAAAGCGAGATCTGCACACCGCATTTGCCGACACGAAGGGGTTAGTAACGGCGTACAATGTAATATGCTAATCTCTTCCATTTTGGTACCCGAGTACAGCAAAAATAGCCAATTCTCACGAACTCTTTTTCTTGTTCAAACGGGTCTCTTGTGCCTTCAAGATCACATCGGGATCGCGGATTGGCATATTTCTGCTTTTCCTGGGATCGACCAGTTCTGGGAGCAAGCAGTTCATGTAGAAGAATTTCAATTTCTCTTCCATTTCATTTTTCCAGAAAACGTCATCCTTTTAAATGACGTCTATTTTCAAACCATACGGGGTCCAAACACCAAGCACACAGTACTCTCTTTGTGCAACGTGTAGCTGCCCTTGAATTTGGTAATACCACTTATGTTTTTTATTTATTTCATCGTTTATCCAAAACGTAATTTTTTTGTTCAGAATGCCCTCTTGAGGGGTCATTTTTCTAGCCGACCATGGACATTTAATTTCTAGCAGACCTTTTTCGCCTATCAAACCATCTGGCGATGCTGCCAGAAATGGATGGGTCCTATCAATAAACAACCCGCAAGATTGTACTTCTGATTGCGAATATGATTTCTCTATTTCTGCCTTTGCCACGCTTTCATGCTTTTTTCCATAGTCACATGCATTGCTAAAGAATTCGGTTGGGTATATTATGGCGTTTACTAGAGCTCTGCAACTTGTTGTATCTCTTCTTCTACAAACCTCACAAAACCGAGACGCAGTCGACCTCATTCTTCGATGAAGTCGCCACAAATTGCAATCCTGAGATTTTGTGGCTTGCTCGATCTGGGAAATTTTGGAGTCGGTTTTTGCAAGTTTTTTCAAGAATTCTACCTTGGCAGCCTCTATATCTTCGTTGCTCATGTCATTCTTCTCACAGAATTCCCCATAGGATGCGTTCTCTTTAGTATCACTATCTCTGATTTTAATTTTCCTTGGTTTCAGCTTCCAACTTTAGCAATCAAAGAGATTGGACTGAAACTAGGGAGTAGCCGCTTTTGGATCACACAAACAGGTCGCTGTGTATTGTGGCTCACTACGGCTGCAGCACATCTTCCTTGGTAGGATCCCTTCTTGCAATAATTAATCCGTTTACCCCCAATGAATTTAGCTCTACAATACTATTATCGACGTCATGAAGTAAACTTAGTGCATTTTTAATCAGAATTGCCAGAAATGATATCAGCCTCTGGTGCAAATCTAAAAAAAAAGGGTATACACACCTGAATTTGAAGATCCATGCCATCTGTCTCTGTTAGAGAATGCATATGCGAAACCTTGCTGTCATTTTTAAGCTAAAATAACATATAAAATATAGTTATA